GTGTAAAACACCTGGTGAAACAAAGTGATTCTGATTCTTAGAGTATTACATGATTATATGTACAACCCCATTTCCAAAAAAGTTGGGACGCTGTGCAGCATGTAAATAAAAATAGGATGCAATGATATGCAAATCAGGTAAACCATATTTTTAAAGGAAAACACTACAAAGACAACATTTCAGATGTTGAAACTGTGAAATTGTATTGCTTTTTGAAAAATATATGCCCATTTTCAATTTGATGCCAACAACACATTCCAAAAAAGTTGGGACAAGGACATGTTAACCACTGTGTTTCATCACCTCTTCTTTTAACAACACTCTGTAAGCGTTTGGGAACTGAGGAGGACCAATTGCTGTAGTTTTGAAAGTGAAATGTTCTTACATTCTTGTTTGATATAGGGTTTCAGCTGCTTAACAATTCAGGGTCTCCTTCGTCATATTTTTCATTTCATAATGCGCCAAATGTTTTCAGTGGTGACAGATCTGGACTGCTACGGCCTTTCCTGAAAAAGACGTCGTGTGGATGGCAGCATATGTTGCCAAAACATGTATATATCATTCAGCTTTAATGGCGCCTTCACAAATGTACACATCAACCATGCCATGTGCACTAATGCGCTCCTATACCATCATGAATACTAGCTTTTCAACTGTGAGCTGACAACAAGCTGAGTGGTCTTTAGCCCAGAGGACACAGTGCCCATGAAAAAAAAAAAAAATGTTCAATGTTGATTCGTCAGACCACAGGACACATTTCCACTTCCCCTCAGTCCATTTTAAACAAGCTCGGGCCCAGAGAAGGTGGCAGCGTTTCTGGATCCTGTTTATATATTAGAGTTTTAACTTTTAGAGTGTTTCTGAGCCCATGCAGTGATTTCCTCTAAAGAAACATGTCTGTTTTTAATGCATTGCCGCCTGAGGGCCCAAAGATCACGGCCAGCAAATACTGGTTTTTGGCCTTGTCCCTTGCATACAGAGATTTCTCCAGATTCTCTAAATCTGATATTATGTACCGTAGATGATGAAAAGCAAAAGTTCTTTGCTATTTTACATTGAGAAATGTTATTCTTGAATTGTTGCACTATTTAATCATGCTGTCGTTCACAGAGTGGTGAGCCCCTCCCCATCTTTACTTCTGAAAGACTCAGCCTCTCTGGGATGCTTTGTTATACCCAATCATGTTACTCACCTGTTGCCATTTAACAACCAGGTGTTTTACAGAGCATTACACAATTTTACTAACCTTTTGTTGCCCCCGTCCCAACTTTTTTGGAATGTGTTGTTGGCATCAAATTCAAAATGGGCATAAAATTTTCAAACAGCAATAAAGTTTCTCAGTTTCAACATCTGATTTGTTGTCTTTGTGCTATTTTCAATGAAATATAAGGTTTAAATGATTTACAAATCATTGCAGTCCCAACATTTGTGGAAAAATTTCAAAAGGCTGTACTCAGACCATCAGGGAACACAGTGTAGTTTGAAATTTAGTGGTCCTATCTCAATCACATACTGGTCAGCAAAAGCAACCAGCTCTTATAGTCAGGTCTGGACTTGTAAACAAGTCACTGATAAGAATTTACAAAATAAGATTTTCTGAAACCGTCAGCAGATTTCATGACTAGAGGACTTGAACCAGAGGACAAAAGTAAAAGACCTGCAGAAGTGCTAATACAGTTCTGTCAATAACACAACATTACACTACATAACTTACATGTAGATTCAAAAGTACAGTTTAAACAAATTGCAGTCTGCAAATTTTAATATAAACCAAAGTGTTTGTTTCCTTATTTTATGACAAGGTGTCACATGGTACACCAGAACAAACTAGGTGATACTATTTCTCTCTCTAGCTAAACTTCCAACCAAAGTATTTAGATGAAAAACAGTTTAATGCTTCTAAAAGTTTGGCGTGTAAAGCTAGGCTATGGAATTTGTAGGTAATAATGATGTGAATGTCAACAAAACTTTAGTGGATAAAGTGTTTGTCGAGATCTGAAATGTTGCCACTTTTCAGAACTTACAGAGACAAAGATGTCCAGAAAAGGCTACAGCCACTTGGAAAGTGCTCAAACAGCTCTAAGTTTAAGGGGAAGTCAGGAAGGCCAAAGGTATACAAGTTGTAACAACTATAGCAACTATCCCAAACATTTTTAAATACATTTTCATTTCATCGTTTGGGATTTGTGCAAAAATTCACGGCAAAAGTTGATGGAAACATAGTGCTTGTTCCATTTAGCGAAAAAATTTGTCTGCGAATCTCACCGAGAGAGTCTGTTTACACAGATGAAGCCTTGGTCTATTCCTGAAAAAACAGTGCCCACTACAAATACTGGCACCTTTGGTAAACATGAGCAAAACAGGCTGTAAAAACATTAATTATTGCTTATACTTTTGATCTTTATTTCACCATATTAACAAAAATCTAACCTTCATATGAAGTACAATGATTGAAACCAAAACCTGATCATGAAATAAATATTTTCCTCAAATATATGTCTCCCACCCCTAGAAATGCACATGAATAAAATCTAATTAGAGTGTATTCCCTTTCATATTTTATGTTTAAGTTCACCTGAGCGATTAGGAACACTTACACAGTCAGACATGTTTCACTGAGGTATTAAATATGAAAAAAAACAAAAAAAAAAAACTTTCCTTTTTGTTTTCTATATGTTCTGGTTTGGATACTACTGCCCCCTAGTGCACATATTTGTGCAAGTGTGTTGGCTGTGTGAATTTTACATTGGAATTTTACAGTAAAATATATTTCAAGCTACCAGACGTGGAAAGTAACCAATTATATTTACTCTCTTTACTGTACTTGAGTACATTTTTCTGGAATAGAATTAAATCATAGTGCTTTTCCTCTTATTTCATTTAATTTTTAATGAAATGCTTTTGCTTCGCTACTTTAAATGTAAAAATAAATTATAAGTGTATCATCTCATAAACCAATTAGAAGAAAGCACGGTTAAATTTAATAGTTATACCGATCAAAACAGAACAGCTCCCAGCCGCAAAAAAAAACTCCAGAGACGACGAGTTTAGAGGAGAAAGAAAAAGGAGAACTTTACCAGCACAAACGAGGAACATACTTTATCCAAATGTCATCTTTACTTTTTTCAACATTATCTAGAGAAAACAGCATCATTATCAACTGTCAAACACGAAATCTTTGCTTTTCGCAACTCAACTTCATTTTGAAGGAGCTTCTGTCTGGCCAGCTAATCCTAGCTAAAGAGATTACTGTGTTTATTGCGAGTGTCTGTAAGCTAGCTAGCCATTTAACACCGGTGGCGATCTAAGCTTACAGTTTATCTGTAAATACAGTTTTGTTGTGGTTTTGGAGGTAAAAGGCTATAGAAACCCGTGATTTGGGAAACTATTCTTAATACAGATACACCATAAACTATGAACAATAATTTCAGACTGTAAACCAGCCATATTAACTGCAAACACTGTTAGATATAACGTTCGGTGCAAATGTGTGCCTTCGAGTACATTTAGCAACAGTTAGTTAGCAAAACAGTAGATTAAACATCATGCAAGGCTGTCAAATTCACTAAAACAGTCCTGCTGTATGAATACATGTTGGAGCTCTTCAGTGGTGACAGTGACCGTTAAAACATTTAAAAGTGGTTGGACACGAGTTCACAAGGAGCCCTTAAGGGGCCGTGATTAAAAAAAATAATTAACAAAAAGTTAATGACATTGCGTTCCCTCGCAAAATATATGCTCCTCAGACAGCAAGCAAACGCAGGACCAGAGGTGCCCAACGACATTGCCTACATTAGAGCTTTGTTTTAGCATAGCTAACGTTAAAAGCTGTTTTCCCAGTTTCGCCAGTCTATGCTGAGTTTATTCAGCAATTGTTCTCTGCAGTCTCTGTAAATGGAGCTTTTACTGTACGAGAATACTCGATCTCAGCAAACGTTTCAGTTTGCGCTCACTAATAGCACAACCATGTTTGATTTTGAGAAGCGACACTATCTTTATATTTCAATCCAAGATCAACGTAAAATTCAGTGAACTGCTCCATACCTCTGAGCTTAAGTAAAGCACCTCTTTTGCCAGCGAGTGCAAACCGTTTGCATCTTAATGCAAAACATTTGCGAAGGAATGCAATATAATTTTTAGTCCGAGATGTTAAAAAAACGTCTGGTACTATAGCCCTACTCTACAGACCTTTAAAACAGCTGTCAGCTCGAGTATCGTTTCCGAAATTGTTAGACTCCAGTGTGAGGTAAAGATCCCCCTGTGGCTAATTAATCCTTAAATGAAATGAGGTGTGCTGGCGGTAGAATTAAATGGAAATCAATGCAAAGTTTCTTTTAACTAGCTCAAAAGATATCAACATTTTTTTAAAATCAACAAACTGCTGTTGCTATTTAATTTGTTCAGTTTTTAGTGTGTCCACTCTTTGCCTTTGTGGCCATTACAAATTCCTTTATTTTCAGCAGACTTGCTTTCAGTTTCTTAAAGAAATCTGCAGGGATATTTTTCCACACCTCAAATGTTCAGTCTTAGAAATTGGTTCTTGACAGCTGCACATCCTTTCAGACCCATTGCTTTGATTTGTCAAAGGATGTATAGAAACACCAACACTGTTTATCTGATGGCGACAGTTTTGGTGGTCTTCCAGGTCTTGCACGGTTGTTAGGAGTCCCATTTCCTAAATATATCCTTATTTCACATTTGACTTTCCTCTTCCTTAAGCAAAGATGTTATCTTATATCTAGTCTCCTCAGGAAAATCTGACAAATTAATAACTTGTGGCCATTTAGACTGGAAATTAAATTAAAAGAAATGAAAAGAGTGGTCTCTGACTTTTGCACAGTATTGTGTATGCATAGGTGTATATAAGCAGTCGATAAGCCATCTTTTGATTTGATCTGTGTTTTTTGTGTACCAATAAATGTTTCATATATTTGTGTGTGTGTGTGTGTGTGTGTGTGTGTGTGTGTGTGTGGTATCAAGTTCAACTCTTCACACACCTCTCTAAAGAAACATGCTTTGTTTCTTTAGTTTGACACTGCAGTTCATTTTATGCCCAAAATGCTCTACATCTCACAGAGGAAACATCTGAAAATACACAAATTCAATTGAAACATAAACTTGAAATACTCGGAAACATTTTGCTTTTTTCTGTGATCATGATCAAATGTAAGAAAAGTGGAATGCAACACTGTCCCGTATGATGTCAAGCAGGAGGCGTAAGACAGCATTTATCAATAGAGGGATGTGTAATTAGTATGTCTGTTATTGTGTAAATAACAAAAAATGGAAGACTTACCTACTGAGATTTTGAAAATTGGTACAACGAATGCTACAGTGTCTTGACATAAATTTCGGTTGGACCACCATATGTGACACCATAAATAAGTGGTTGCCAGAATGGAAAATTTCACAGTCAATTTCAGTTCAGTATGGTTTATCTGCCTAGATATCTGGCTTAAGCTGCTCTGTCATAGTCTATCCTTCTACAGTGAAAGATAGACTGTGGCAGAGGACAGTTACCCTGGCTTCCAGTTTGGCATCATTTGGGACAATGCTGTCTTCAAACACTCTTAAAGAGAAAAGAGGAAGCAGGTAAATGTTTAAATGTTTTGGGTGTTTGGAGGTGAGGGGGTGATACAAATATGTATCTGCTAAAACAGGAGAAGAGAATATAATATGTGCTGTTATTCTTACAGTTTGGCACATTCTAAAACTGTTTAAAACAGATAGTACAGCACAGATATACAGCAATAATGAAGGTTGAATAGATTTAAACTGATACCTATATTGTGTGATTTTTTTGGTGGTTGTTTAGAGATTGACTAAAGAAATCTCATCTTCCGATTGTAAGTTGTAGCTAACATTGAAATGTTTGTTTCTGTGCCATCTGTTTAATATTTCCTGGAGGTTTGACCATTTTGCCAAGAAAGTGTGTTATTTTAGCCAGTCAAATTCAGTTTAACATTGTGTGTTTAACATTATTTGCTCAGTTAAACAGAGGTCTTAGAGTTTATTTGACTCATTAGGCCTTAATCCCAGTCTGGTGCACTGCTGTGTCTGATCCACTTGTACCAGCATAACATACACTACCAACACCACCACCACATCAGTGTCACTGGAGTGCTGAAAATGATCCACCACCCAAATAATACTTGCTCTGTGGTGGTCTTGTGGGGTTCCTGACCACTGAAGAACAGGGTGAAAGGAGTCTAACAAAGTATGCAGACAAACAGTTGGACTACAGTCTGTAACAGTGCACCTATATATGGTAAGTGAAGCATATAAAACAGACAAAGATTGTAAGAAGATGTACTTAACAAAGTGATTGGTCAGTGTATAAACTTGCTATAAACCTAAGTATAACTTTGCACAGGTCATATTTTATGTTTATTTTTTTTCCAATATATTAAATTCAGTAAATAAACTGTAATTGTGCATTACAGTGTGTAGAAGTTTGCTGTCTGTAGAGGATGTTGCATAAGTAGGTAGGTACAGATGCACTTTTTCTGCCATGTCTACATCAATAAGTTATCATTAATTTTTTTTTGTGAAGTTCATATTTGCCATGAGTGAACCTTGTAAGAACTTTCAATTAAAATTTAATGAATAACATATGAAATCATGATCACTTGTGTGAGCGTTTACACGCTGATTCAAAACAAACTACAGATTCCTCTCTAAAAGCATACTCTTCTCTTTCAGTGTAAGATATCACACAGATATGAAGTTCCAGCTCTCATTCAGGCGAGAATATATCAAATTGAGGAACACCACAGAAGCTTTATACAAGTTCCTGAAAAAAAAAAAAAAACAATTGTAAAGAATAGCACATCTTCACCATTAGCAGAGTCATTAGCATTCAGTCCAAAATTAAGTAAGGGTTCCTAAAATATTGAGAAGAATATGAATCAGCATTTCCCTCATAATGTGTACGGATGTTCATTAAAAAGGCTGAAGAATCTGAATATTGTTTCATGACATGACTGCTCCGGAACAAATTCCTGGTTATTGTCTTTTACTTCTCAGAAACTTTTTTGTTTTTTTTTTGATCAGTTATCATTATTTTTAGAAATCGATCTGTTTCTGCTCTGCCCACAAACCTATTCTTTAATAGCAACTGTTGCACGGCTGGATAAGTTAATTAGAAATTGTAGTGCACATATAAATTAATTCATCAATTAACATAATATTTCATTTACAGTTTCAGTTGCTACGCTACTGAGTTTAACAATGTTGTTGTAGGTAATCAAAAGTAGGCAGATTGGAAACTGACATGTTACCACATGTCCTGGAAAACCTGGAAATGTGTAAACTAGTTTTCTAGTTACGTGAAGTCTTGGAAAATTGTTTCACTGTGGTAATCAAATCACAGAGTTGGCAGTTTTTAGCATATTATTAGCTGTTAATGCTCAGTTTCTGCATTGATGCATACCTACTGTAGTTTGGAAATTTTACAGTGTTGCAGGTGGACATATATAAGAAACTACATTAGCATATGCCAGCTTATCACAGCGTGTAACAATCACTTCCAACATTAATGTAGAACTTGTGATCAAATGATGATTGGTTATTTTGTCAAACAATGTGTTGTGCACTATGATTTCTCATTTGTTTTAACTGAATTGTTGCCAATCTTTCCAACCTCAAAACGGATGCTATTCAAGAACACATTGGACCACACTGGGTGGAGCATGGATAGATTAATAACAGCTAATATAAAATATTACAAATATTTGAATCAGTACTTAAGCACAGACACAGTGTAATTGATTCAAATACATGGCCAAAAGTAGACATGTGTGGACATCTATCCTAATTATTAAACTAAGGTGTTTCAGACACACTTGCTAACAGGTGTATAAAATCAAGCATATAGCCATGCAATCTCCATAGACAAACATTAGCAGTAGAATGGGAAGTACTGAAGAGTTCAGTGACTTTAAACATGGCGCTGTCATAGCATGCCACCTTTGCAAGTTAGTTTGTAAAGTTTCTGCCCTGCTATATCGGCCCCAGTTGACTCTAAGTGTTACTATCATGAAATGGAAATGTCTAGGAGAAACAACAGCTCAGCCACGAAATGGTAGACCATGCAAACTCACAGAGCAAGGCCACCACATGTATGTGCAATAAGCATGTAGCACATACAAAATGGCCTATTCTCTGTTGTATTACTCCAAATTGCCTCTGGAAGCAACATCAGCACAAGAACTGAGCATCTGGAGTTTTGTGAAATGGGCTTCCATGGCTGAGCAGCTGCACACAAGCCAAAGATCACAATGCGCAGTGCCAAGCATTGGCTGAAGCTGCCCATGAACTCTGGAGCAGTGGAAACGTGTTATTTGGAGTGATGAATCACACTTCACTCTCTAGCAGTCTGATGAACAAATCTGGCTTTGGTGGATGCCAGGAGAACACAACCCTCCAGAATGCTTCTTGCCAACAGTAAAGTTTGGTGGAGAAGGAATAATGGTCTGGGGCTATTTTTAGGGTTTGGGCTCAGCCATTGAAGAATAATTGCTTCAGCATACAAAGACATTTTAGAAAGATGCTTGCTTTGTGGCAACAGTTTGGGGAAGGCCCTTTCCTGTTCCAGCTCATATGTGATGGTCAGTTATTCACATACTATTGGCCATATAGTACATTTTAGTGCTAACACCTTGCTACTTTATGGAAAATCTTAAGCCTGTTAGTTAACTAGTTAAAAAGTGATTGGGTGAGCTAGTTAATTTGTGAGCCAGTGAGCTAGTAAGTTAGTTGTAGATACTTTGAGTTGATTACTTGATTGAGTTGATACTTGATTTAGTTAGTTAGTTACTTAGTTAATGAGTGAGTTTTACTTTAGTTGAGTTGAGTTGAGTGAGTTATGAGGGAATGAGTTACAAGCCACATCCATAAGGTGCTTTGCATCTAACAAATACACTATAGATAATGCCAATCCAGTACCCATTATTCAATACAAATTTAGTCTGTAATGATAGTTTCTGTATAAGACAAGACAAACAGGTATTAGTTCAATCAATAAATAAATAAATAATAAATGAATAAATAACAAAAAAAAGTCCTACCACAACAAGTCCTGCACGTCACGTTCACCTGCCAATTTTAATAACTTCAAAATGTTTTCTTCAAGGATCCTGTAGTTTGGGAACACAGAAAGAATAAAAGATGAAAAATAATCCAAAAGTGCGTCACCTTCTAAATGGAGACCCTCACACATTTCACTGCATTCTCTTAATGTAATTACATAATTCAAATTCAAATGAAAAACTCGTCAAGTAATCGGTCAGTTAAAGCACGGTAGGTATAAAAGTGTCTTTATTAGTTTCTCTAAATCAAGTGAGGATCCATTCTTAATATAAATATAGATTTGTGGCACAAGTTTCTCATTTCTGAATTGATGAGTTATGAAAACAAAAAGAATTCTATAAGTGGCAGTAACTGCTGTGGCTGAGACCAGGTCCCGATCATCCAACAGGTCCCCCAATCCCAAGCCATCAGGGGACCCTAGCGAGCAACTATGACAAAACTTAAACAGCCGTTCTGACTCGCAGTGCCTATAGTCATGGGAAATTTACTAGCACCACAGCACAAAAAACAGCTAATTTGTCATTGTGTTATAGCCAATCAAAATCCTGATGTCTTGATCTCCACGTATTTTCTGAATATCAGCATTTTTTTAATCCAATCACTGCTTAGTAACTGCTAAATTATCTGCCATTACCACTTTCAGTTTGTTTAGCAGAGAGTTAGTGAGTGTATATACTTAGAATTAGAAGCTCCAGATATTGAAAAGTTGCACCTGGAGGATCTGTAAAAGCGAGACCTGATACTTTGGCAGAGTAGAGGATTCCCATTTCTAACGCCAAATATAAAATGTCCAATTCTTGCTCCAGCTGTTCATCTTTATTTGAGAAAATGTTGTTCTTGTGAAGAGCAGACACACGCTTCATACCACCCAAAAAAGGTAGCCAGTTAGAGGCCTTACAAATATTTGTGCCCACGGGCCAAAAACTTGTTGATCCAGCCACTTATAAGAAGGGCTTGGAAATTAAATGACAAATAATGATTTCTCAGAGCAGTACCAATAATTTAGTGTTTTTGTTCAGTTAGAACTAAATTAAGTTGTACGTTGACCAAATATTCACTGACATAAAATAATTAAATAGTAAAAAAAAGACCAAGATCGATATTTTCAGAGGTGGCAACAGCTCTGTGACCTAAAGGGACTCAGGAGTGATACTGATTTTGCTGGACAGGTAAGTTATGTTGGCTGTTTGCTAGCTGCTGAAAATAGCCAGCCAGATTATTACCGTTGTGGAATTTAATGTTACTCTTGTAATGTAATGCAGTGTACCCTTGTAATTGTGAAGTTGTTTTAGCTGTATAGCTAATGTTGTTAAATTGCTAATATTAGCTGACTGGCTAACGGTGTTTCTTCTGCTTCAGAGTTCGTCCTCTATTGTTTGATGAGCTAAGCTAGCCATTATTCTCAGATAATTTACAGTTTTACCATCTGTCTCCTTTCGTAAACTCGACCAATATATAAGATACTTGGCTAACATTGCCTAAACAGATATCTGACTGAGTGGAGGTTTACATAACTAATGGACACATGCTACAAAGCTGTTGTATAAATAGAAATGTTAGCTATTAGTTATCTGTGGTGAAGCAGCTAACATATCCACACGTTTCCCCTCAGTTACGAGTTTTAGGTTAATCTGTACAGAGAAGGGGACAGCAGTACAAACCATTTTACAAAATGTTGTTATATACGTTTCGTACATATTTCCACCAGAGAGGTCGCCAGTTCCTAAATTCATGACAACGTGCAGCTTTAAGGAAAAATGATTTAATTGTGTAAGGACTTTAGCTGAGAAGGCTGAAGATGCTAAGATAGCTAGGCTACCTTCCTTATTCATTTACAATCAGGTTGTTGAAATGATATGGACAATGATACAGTAGCATTAAACAGATGCATGCAAAACATTTAGAGTTTGTGAAGGCACAAATAATAAGCTAGTTTGAATTCTTGTTGTACATTATGCAAAACCATAAACAGATTTTTAGGCTGGCTAGAGTAAAATCAGCAAAGCTATGTAACAATTCAATGAGAAAGCAGGTTTAACATAAACCCTTCAACAATGAACAGCAACAACAGTTAAACACCCTTCTAAAGCATGTGTCCACTCAAGACAGGGACAACTTTTATCACATTAAAGGCCCACTGAGTTAAATCAGGCAGAGGAGCTGCAACAAAAAAATTGAGGAAAAATAACATCAGCCAAACACAAAACCTGGGCCATCAATCATCCAAAACTAAAGCAGGGAGCCCCTAGTGGTGGCATGCACACAACACAAACACATCAGGTAGCTACAGGCTACAGACTGCAGGGAGCAAATATATATGCAAATTCAAAGAGGGACTTACCTTTGTGTTATGATTGAAGGTGAAAATACAAAAGATTATTATTCAAATTCCATATTTTCAGCTAATAAAGCAGACACCATTGTTGCTACAGAAGAGTTTGAGCTGAGCTTTTTAATTGGTTAGTCAAATGGTTAGATCAATTCACACAACTAATGAACGTGCTACAAAGCTGTTGTATGAATAGTAATGTTAGTTAGCTATTAGTTATCTATAACTATAAAGGTTCAAAATAAGTACTTCAGATAGCGTTTCTGAGTCAGCACCTTATATTTGGGCGCTCTGTGACGCAGTAAGCTAATGATTGTTTATTGTTTATACGTGTATTAGTGAAATAAGCTGCTGTTTTAACTGCTTGGCTAATCACTGTTCAATGATTGTGTTACACACTGCAGTCAAACTTTCTTTAAATCCATTCAGCATGTGTCTCAACTCAGCCTGCAAAGCTTTTTTAGACAACCATCTCTCACCTCTTGGCTGTGAACCTCTGGTTTATAATGTTGTGAGCTTTTGGGATGCTTGACATTTCTGAGTGTCCACTTATGGATTTAGGACACACAGCAATGTGCAGTGGTGTGTACTGGTGTTTACTGCAGTTACCTTCTTGAAAAATAGTACATTTCTGGCAAAAAGGTGCAAAAAATTACTTCAGATTTTTGTTTTAATTACTAAATTGAGTTTGAAGCTCTGCTGATGAGGATGGAACATGTTGAGACAGGCCAAAGTTAGTCTTTGTATCAAAAAACTTTGAGACTCAGAAGAAAAGCACTTTATGATGTAGCATTTAGAGACTTTAAACTGTTCAGATGTCTAGTTTGTGTCCAATGTGAACAATTCTGACTCAGTAAGTTTCTCTAGGATTATGCCTCAAACATCTCTGAATGACTTTGTTCATCTTAAATTAATTGTGCAGATTTTTTTTACAGCTTGGTGGAATTCTCTTTTAATCATATAGACGCAAATGAAACAGGGACATCAATTGGCTGGTTTTGATCTTTACCAAGCTTATGATAAATTCAATAAGCAATTTTTTAAATAAATTTCAGAGAATAGTCCAATGCATCCTTTAATTTGGAACCGCACCTCAATAATTCTCTCTTTCATCCCATACCTTTGAAATTCTTCCAGCCCCTGCTGAGTAATTATTCCTCTGGCCAGCAGTTTTTCAGTGTAAAACCTCTTCATTTTGTCCAAGTTCCTGCAACACATACAAGCAGAGGTGAGTAAAGCAGCCTAAACCCACACTCAAGCAGAAGTATTAACGCTTGGGTAAAATAATGACACAAGTACCTTTGGAAGTACCTTCCCAAAAAAAACTTCACTAGAAGTACAAAAGTATCAGGTCAAAAAATTACTTTAGTACTGAAAAACTTATAGAACTGCAGTAGAACGTCTGAGTAAGTCCACCATCTGTCAGCAGATGAACTGAAGCTTGTTCTTTTCCTTTTGGGATTCTTTTAGTGTTAAATAAAATGCTAAACCTCCAATGTCAGAGATGTGACCAATCACAAATCAGTGCAGATAGTGTCAACAACAAAACATAATGAAGTTAAACACAAAAGGACGTAGTAACCAAATATGAATTGCCAAAATACAACTGAGTAAAAAGCAGCATCCGTTACTCGCTAATATACTTGAGTAGAAGTAAATGTATTATGGTTTGAAAATGCTCAGAAGAGTACAAATCCATCAAAATTTTCCATGGACTTGAGTAAATGTAACTACCTCAGCATACTAAGAAAAGAAAAATGTTCTTTGAGAATTGAGACTCATAAAAAAGTACAAAAAGTGAAAATTAAAGGGACATTTACTTCCTTTTTTAAAATAAGCTATGAGACACTATTTTTTGTGGTCATAATGCAAACACAAAAATAAGGTACAAGGTCTTGACAAGGGCTGAAAGATTTTGGCAAAATATCTAATTGCGATTTTTCTGACCAGTATTGCGATTATGATTCAAATTGCGAATGTTTTCTATAAATTAAGGTATGGGCCTTTTTTTGGCTAAGAAGACCAGCATAAACTTTTTCTGGCTTAAGCCTTGAGCACTTAACATCATGCGCCAGCCTCCCGGTTATTTGTAGTTGTGATGTCACAACACATGGATGTTTGGTTGCTTTTGATTTGTCAAATTCATCTAAAAGCAGTTCACAGCCTCCATGTTAATAGATTAATTTCCCTACTTAAAACTTGCAACATATCAACAGCTCTTGCAATCTGAAAATTGCACTCTTTCAAATTGCTATATAAAAACGATTAATCTTTCAGGCTAGTCTTGACGTTGGCTTGTGTGCTGTGGCAGTTCATTTTGGAATGTTACTGACTGCTGGTGCAGCTGCTAACCGGATGACGAGCCACGCAACTGTAAAAAGAGGCGGCGTATAATATACACATTTTACAGATGTGTTTAGGTGTGCTATATCTAATCAAATCAACTCCTCACATTCCCCTGAAAACAGACACGTTAAATTGCATCCCTTTTTTTGGTTGTTTTTTACAATCCTCCAGGCCTTCTAGGCCTAATGATTTTCATTTTAAATATACAGAATCACACTTGTTTTTGAACTTTTTTTAACAGTACTGCTCTTGTTTCATTGTTCAGTATGGATGGACACAAAAGGTTAAATTCCTGAAATGGGGGAATTGCTATCTAGACAGATAAAGCTAAGCATGCTCTCCTATTGGTTAGGACTTCACAAGGTGCCATGAAATGTCTTTTAGAAGCTTTAAGTCTGTGTTTAACTGCATGGTTCATGGGAATCACCACAGGCTTAGCACTAATGCTGCATTCACACGTTTGCATTGAAAAATCCATCATTCCATGCAGTATAGTGTTGTGCAACCGTGCAACCGATAGCAACATGTAGCCATGGAAACGTTACCATGTTGATGGTGAAAATGGATGATTCTCGGAGGAGAGCTTGTTTTTTTAAGGTGGAAAGAGAGGCAAGACATCTATCTCAGGCAGAAATGCATCGACACTGATACTGGTATTGGGTACCGGGCCAATACTGTGCTCATTTACTTGTATTCACACTCATAAAAATGCACCGATACCAACATTCCGACAGTGTAACATAAGCCGAATGTAGCTGCTGCACTAATGAACAAACGCAGGGCAGGAGGCTGTCATTTTTAAACACACAATCACAGCCACTTCCTCAGTGTGGGTGGAGACAGGAAGGCTAGAAAAACAGAGTCGACATTTTCTAGTCCACCTATGCCGTCTTTACCCTGTTTGACCCAATAGGAGTACAAGATATAAACTTTAATACAGTGATTTTTTGTAAAATAGGCTATAGAGAGACTGTTTTGTCCTAACATGTACATCACTGCCTGCTTTTAGCTTCTGTGCCCGGTGTCAGCAGCACTGCTCAGTTTTCTTGCTCAGTACTCGGAGTGCAGCATGTTATTCTGAATGAAACAACTATTTGAAATTGTTCATGTTCAGAGTGTTTTATTGAACAGTATTTGGTCATATTTATCAAATCAACTTAACTATAACTATAAAAGCTTGTGCAATATTATCACATTTCGTATATATGTAAAAGATAATGTGCCAAACTGGAAAAAAACTGCTTTAAGATGAGTGTATGAGTGAAGTGTATGGAATCTGATTATATGTAGCAGTTATGAAACCTTGGAACACACTTTTCTGCTCCTTTGAATGTTTCCATTTCAGCAGCGAATGAAAGACACTAGTGTTCATCTTCATTAAATTGCCTGCTGACCACACCAAGAAGTTTCTTTTCAAAGGCAGAAGTATCAGAAATGGTTCCTGCTCTTTTTCTCTTCTTTACACTGTGACGAGGCTGGGAAGAGCTTAACTTACACTTAAATACATGAGCTTAACTTACACTTAAAAACATGTATTTAAGTGTACTTTTATAAAAAAATAAGTACACACAAATATACAGGGTTGGTATAGCTACTGAAAAATTAGTAGTTAGCTACTTTGTAGTTACTTTCCCAAAAGTTGTAGCTAGCTACAATTTAACCGCTTTTCCAAAAAAAGTAGTGGCTACATTTTAGCTACTTTTTGAAAAGTAGTGCACTACTTTCTAGCTGCTTTAAAAGCGTGACTGTCAGAATGTTTGTGAATTTCCACCTGACACACCAAACAACTGAAAGTATGAACAAGACACATTTAATCATGTGCCAGAAAGAAACATACAATTGAAAAGCAAATATACAAAAAATATACAAAAAGATCACAAAAAGTAAGTTTAAATGTAACCAACAATCAAACTTACACAACCAAAGGTGATACCCAACAAAAATTTAGACTAAAGGCAAAGTCAATCATTCCAGGTTTTTCCTAACAAAAATCAAAAAAAATAACCGTATAAACCAAACAACTTTGTGCAAAGCATTGTCAACTGTTGAAATAAAACTGCTCCAATTTAAACATTTCAGCAAGATATTTACAGACATGACATTCAGAATCGTTTGTCAAACTTAAGCAACACTGTAGCCTCAAAATTCTCATCAGTGACCCCGGCTCTGTTTAGGGTGAGAATCAGGCCTGAATAATCTCTCCACTGCTGCAGAGCTGTTGCTGCTCCACAGCAGAACTAGATTTTTAGGTAAAATAACATAATCCTCCTTTGCTGTAAAATCGTTATAACACATAGTTCTAACACAGTTTTCACAATAAATGGTCTTAAATGCTGGAGTTAATGTATAACTGCTAATTCACCCTTTAACGCTGAAGACTGATGCGCAGCAATGGACACAGCAATGCAGAAAATGAAACGGCAAAGAGAGAGATTTAAGACGAACATCGATAATTTGGAGATGAATGGACTTATTTACATTTGTAATCACTCAGCTGGTTTCCACATACGTTTAATCTGCAACAACTCGTGAAGCTAAAGTCAGCTTCTTATTCTCCTGCTTCTCGTTCGAGTTGTCCCGTTCCACCTTAAAGGGTGCAGCAGTACAATCCAGTACGCCTCAGGCACCATTTAAGGTGGAATGGGACAATTCGAACGAGAAGCAGGAGAATGAGAAGTGACTTCAGCCCCGTAAAAAGTCGAACATTGAGAGACATTTTACAAGAAACTCGCGGAAAAGTTTCTTGAGATGCGAGAAAAACAGCTATAGCTGAGCTAAAGGTTAAAGCAGAGCAAAGTAAGTCTGTGTTTTCGTTTATATTTTTAGTCTGTACCAGCACATTAACACACACTGAGACTTATTTACAGCCATGATGGTAAAACGGACATAAAATGTTGTGGCTCCCAAGGTGGTTTGATTTTTGTTGAAAGGACAGAATGGCTCTTCTTATCATTTCGGTTGCTACCCCCGAGCTGAGCCTGCTAGTAAGGGGTGATCAGCGCGTGGGACCCGTGTGTGACCGTTTGCTCGAACAGTCTTGACTCAGTCGCCACCAGCCCAGTTAACAACCATGTTCTGTGGTTCAGATTTTGCATGGATTGCCTGAAGCCTGTAGCGAAATTGTAGTGAAAGTTTTCGCTATAGCTACACAAAAATTTGTAGGCGCTACAGCTATTAGCTACAAAAATTTGCAGTTAACTATAAAAAGTACCGTGCTACTTAGCTACTCCCCCATCTCTGTAAATATGTAATTGGGATTAACTAATCACAACTTAAATTATATGTAAGTAATGTTGGAAATGCATCTATTACTACAAGTGCTTTTCTGTTCTAATTTGGAACAACTTAGGCTGCAAAAAAGTGAACTTAAGCAATTGTTAGGACAGAAATTCTTCTGTACATGAAACATATTTTAAATGTATTCTCTTGGGTGTACTGATAACCATATTTAATTGCTATTTAAGTATTACTGCAACTAAAATGCAGCTAAAATGTGCCAAAGCATACTTTAAAAGTTACTGCTTTTATATATACTTTTAAATAACACACCTAATTTGATTGCAATTAATTATACTTTTCTTTAGTCTAATAACATAGCCAATTCCCCCTCAAATGATCACAAATTTGAACAAAATGTGTAAAACCTACCCAAGTTTAATTTTTAATGTTTTTTTTTTTTCAGGTTGAAGAATGGTGTTCACTAGAAATGAAAAGGCATTTTGTGTGTTAGAATATGCTCGAACACAGTCAAACAAGAGTGTGCAGCGTGCGTTTTTAAATTCAATAACAATGCACCAACTGGAAAGCAGATGGCACAAAAAATTCAACACAGCGTGTTTGGCAGGAGCTGGACTACCAACTTAACGTGTGTCGTCATTTGTGAAGCTTTGTGAAATCGGTTATAAAATCTACATCCCTCTGAATTCCTTGTTCGAATTTTGATAAATAAATCTTGTGTTGTTCAACATGAAGCCTACTTAATTTCGTTTGTCTAGGACATGTAGTTACTCAGATATTCACATCTCAAATGATGTAAATTTTTTTGGGACACCCTGCATTTCCATACAGCATACTAAAATATATATTTTAAAATGTGTTACTTTAAAAACATGCAATTTAGCTTTCCAGTGTGTTACTTAAGGAACTGTAGTTTGGTATAAAATATTTGGTAGATGAATCTGGTGCCTGTGTCTAGGTAATTATAATCTAAGATAGCACAATGCTATCACTTCTGTATATGGTTGTCTATGAATTCTTACTTTGTACTTACTTTGCAATGTGTTTTGTGCCCCCGTCACCAATATTTTCATTGACTAGTTGACTTGAGTACATTGATAACAATCGCACACTGGCCCTTGATATGGCAAAAAAAGAAAAAAAAAGTTTAGCCAGCTTTGAATTTGATTAAATCTCAGCTTTAAAAAACAATTCTAGTAGATTTTACATAGTAATCCTGTTTTTACCTCACTTGTGGAAGCGGGAATGCTGTTGTGTTCCTTCTCTCTTCATCAATGACTAGATATGCCCTGCCACTGAAAGCTCTCCAGTGTTTAAAGACGAAGCCTCTGTGACAAAAAAAGAATGTGTTTGATGTATAATGAAATATGCTTATTGTGAAAGCAAACACTGACTATTGTAAAAGAAATGTAATCGACATTCCCATAAACAAAGACACTCATGGTAAAAGCACTGCTTAGTATGGGGATCGCTGACAACACGGATGAGCGGATTTATGCACTCTTGGCTGTCGTCCCCAGATGTACTAAGTTTCCACTATTTTGTAGCCAGTAGTTTGAAATAAACATAAGATTGCATGTTCTATTTATTTAAGTGAAGCATATGCTGGCTTTCATCCTCATCCCCACAGATGTATTTTGCAATAAGGCTTGATGTGACTTGCTACAACAGAAAATTAAGAAGTGGCTACTACAAAACTAAGTTGGGACAAATAACTAAAAAAGCCTGTTTTAAATCACTGTAAACATTAAACACATCTAACAATGTTCCATGTTTACGGGGCATGAGCGCTTTTAAATACTTTCAGAAATCTATTGTCTTTGACATGGACACAAGCAATGTGTTGTACATCAAATAATTACTTTATGTTGAATGATTGATTACTGACATTTTATATCAACCAAATGTTAACTGTCTTTACAAAGAAGAAGGTTTTAGATGTGGGGTACGGGTAACGAACTTGCAGCCTAAAGAACCCAGTAGACTGTGCATTAACAGTGGCCTTAAGTTTATCGCATGTAACACTGCACGAGATGCTTCAAATAAAATATTGGCCAGACTGCACTCAAAGAATGAACCAGCAGGGTTGTTGTTGGACAAACAGAATATGTTGACATTAGACACATTAATTTTGTTGTCTTTAAGTAACTGGTTTGCATAAAATGGACAAAAATTAATGACAGTGCATTTCAGTGAATGAGAACTGTCGTGTTGAGCCAAAGAGATTTCCATTACAATGAAACTCAAATAAATTGCACTGAAATGTTTCAATTCTGTTCCATCAGTAGTTGAATTTTATGTTGATGTAATGTAATCCTTGATTGACTGGAAATGTGGGGAAATGTTCACACAATATTTTTTTTAAAGGGTGTGTATCTTCAGTTATGCCTTATTTTATTCCACAAAACAGTATTTGCCTTGAGTTAAGTTAAAACTATTGTTGAGTCTTGAATTTAAAGTGTCTTGATTGTATTACATTTTTAATCAGAATATAATGGAAAGTAATCAGATTATGTTGCTTTGATATAGTAATTCTTTGGATTAGGTTATACCCTACACTGGTAATCAGCCAACTGAACTGGAATACATTTTTAAATCAGCCCTCTACACCCTGGATATTGCATATAGTGACCCAGACTACAATAGTAGTACCCAGAAAATGAATTAATTGCTATAGTACAAAAAAGGATCCACAAAAACCTCTCTGTCTTCCACATTAGTCTAGATTGTAAGGTTGCATTCTTGGTGTATGCGCATTTTAGGGTTTACAGAAAGTCACGATTTTTTTTCTATCATGCTTTTAACAATGAGTGTTGTCACACAGCAACTTTACAGAAAATCCAGGTCCAAGCCCCACATGAGCAATGCAAAGGTGACAGTGGCAAGGAAAAACTCCCTAAGAGCAAGAGAAAGAAACCTTGAGAGGAACCAAGACTCAAAGTGGAACCCATTCTCCTCTGGTCGACACCGGATAGCAAAACAGTAACACAACACAAGCAATATGAATAAAAAATAAGATTTTACATTTAATATATAACTGAATATAGAGAATAAAGAAAAGAAATCCAGCAGTCACTGGACAGAAGTATTTAGATTAACCAATAACTACTATTAGAGGCCTTTCAGAGTAACAATAAGAAACAGATCTATGAAAATCAGTCACTGTTCTCAGTGAAAGCCAGTGACTGCTGAGCATATCACTTTAAAAAAATGAGAGTTAAGACCAACAGTTCACTACTGTTAGACACTAATAATGGTGATATGTTAGTATGAATATGTGAAGAACTCCAGTTTGAATTTGTGCAGGCACCAACATGGAATGTCTGTTCTCCAGAGGTCTCCAGAGAACTAACACATACCTTCTGAGTAATACAGTTTTTAGTTTATCACCTTCTTTCTCTCTCGTCATAGAAGAAGTCATGATTTAGGAGCAATTTTCTTTTAACACAAGCTTTCTTTGGTCTTGAAGGCACTACATGGGCCACAATGAAGCTCATCACATTAAACTTTCAAAGACCAGCGATTTAAACTCATGATCAAAGAATCTCCATGATAACATTATTGTGATGAAAATCAAGCAGTGTATACTTGCCTTGACTCAACTACAAAATGACATATCACTGCAGAATTGTGAAAAATCTCATTTTAGCCAGAAACCTTCTGCAGGTTCAGAATATAACCTACACACTTAAAATGATGGTATTCAAGGGTTTCGCAAAGAAAATGGTTCTATACAGAATCATGAACACAATCAAAGAACGCTTTGCATGATTCTTCTGTTGTTACAAACTTGACATCATAACTATAGCAGAACCCTTTTTGGTGCTATACAGAGCCCTTTTCAAAAAGGTTCTATATAGTGTTCTATTTATACAGCACATTCTCCATCAATCTGAAGAACACTTTCACCATGTAAAGAACCCGTTAATCATGCAAAGGGTTCTTTGAGTGTTCATGGTTCTATAGAGAACCCTTGAAGAACCATCTTCTCAATGAGTGTGCCATGAATATGTAAATCAAAGCCAACACCATTCTCTTTCTGTATCTGTAATTGACGCAACATTTATTATTGCCTCCCGTATGATATAATAAAATCTATCTGACAGGACAAAACGAATTCATCTCAATAACTTTTATTATAGTTTTGCAGTGAAAAACATTTCTGGTTGCTCTTACCTGATAGTCTCAAAGTCTTCCTCTCCTGCAAGGACATAAATTATATCCAAAGCACTTAAATAACATTGTTTGATCATAGAAAACACATCCATTTCATACAGCTTTTCCCAAATCAGAGCGCCACCAAGAGCTGCAACATTCCCTAGGGCACTGCAAAATGTTAAGACAAGGAAATGTATGGTTATTGCCAGGGTTGAGTAGTAATGGAATACTTGTAATGGCATTGCATGATCAGAATACAAACTTTATTCTGGTACAGGTACAGAACAAAGGCTGTAATCAGATGACAGGACTAATTGGGTGATTACCAGTAGAACTACATTAAAATTTTGACAAAATTTGCGATTTTAATGCTAAATATGACGCGTCATAAAGAGTTTTTAATTTTGGGAAGAATGGGCTGGTGGGAGAATTCTTAAGCATCCCCCTCCTCAGCAGCAGTACATTGTCTTTTATTCAGTCACTCTGTAGAATTTTTTGTAAGTATCTGATTTTACTGTCAGAACTAAGATCTGCAGCATTTGTCCCAAAATTATTTGAACCAGGCTTTATATTTCACCAGATTCCACAGCAGCAAACTAGTCTGGAAGCTCTTTTATTCTTGATTGTTGCTACATAAAATTCTACAGTTCAACTATACATGAAACTTTTGTTTGTTTGGCAGATTTTAACACTGAAGTGAACCAACATAATTACGAAACACAGAGCTACATTTTGTGAGCTGTAAAGTTGGCTAAATTTTTGCATAAGTGATTTATTTCTCCAATATTTTTTGAATGAAGATTGAAAAATGTTAATATGCGATAATAGTTTTATTATTTGTAGATAAGATAATCAAGAGAGCTGAGGGAATGTCTACAAACGAAATAATCAATGATCATTGAAGTCTAAGCACAACACATTAACAAGAAGCCTTATGAGACAATATAGGCCTTTTAGCAAATAGAACACAAATGATGGTCAGTCAGAGTTATGTGAATGGCCTCTGTATGTAATTACAGATAATGAGGGGCCTCAAAAGATTTCCCCCTGATTGATGTGCTGACTTTGGTATATTAACAAAAAACATTAAAATTCACAAGGTAAACACAAAATATTATGTTTTTGTACTGTTTTCAATTTAATTTTGGGGTAAATAGAATGGACGAATGGAAAATTGTATTCTTGCCATAGTACAAAAAATATGCCACAGAAACCTCTACCTCTTCTACAAAAGACTAGATTACAAGTTTCTATTCATTTCATTAAGTTTACTTATTTTGGCTGTTTGTTCTGACAGCCAGGCAGTTACAGCCAGGCTCATAAACATTTAGATGTCAACAAGATATTATTTTAGCTGTTTACCACATAATATTGTGCTGAAATTAAATAATAAATATGTATTAAATATCCAGACTTTCAGCTTTAATTTAAAGGTATCCAAATATTTATGGACCTGACTGTATCTTGCAAAGTGGTGAACCATGACTTCTTGAGGCCAACATCAAAACTTAGTCAGAAAAAAAAACAAACAAGAAAATAGTACCAAGCATTGATGAAGTACAAAGATCAGACAGAAAGCTGAGTAAACGTACATTCCTGTGCAAAAGTCTGAGACCAACATAGATGCCTGAGTAAGGAGCAAGTGGAGCATGTGCACCCCCACGTACATTCTTGCTTATTGTATTATATTCAGGAGTTATTGAATTCGGTAAACCCATGTTTGAGACAAAGTTTGTGGTTTAAGAGTAACCTTAAAGAGCACTGAAGTAATAGTATACTTATAGTATTCTTTATAGTATTCTTTTTCTTCTTACTTTTATTATTATTATTATTATTATTATTAATAATAATAATAATAATAGTAGTAGTAGTAGTAGTAGTACTAGTAATATAGCCTCAAAAATTGTTACACAACAACTTCTTTACAAGTATAGAAACTCTAGACTAGAGCTCTACAAAACTGCTCTTACCTTTCAGTTTTCCATCTCCTCTCATGACCAAATACCATGAAAGGATAATAGGGTATGTTGGAGACAGCTCTACTGATTTCTTGAAAATAATCTGCAAGTAACCTGAAAAGAAAACATCAGATTATGGAATACAAAACAAAGAAGGAGAACATCCATATCAGATACACTGGTGAGAAATTAATTTAACATTTGCTTTATTACTCATAGCACTCTTAAAATTCTTGCACACTCTGGACTGGTCTGTTCATAGCACTAAGACTGGCGATTTCTATTGCTATTATTACCTTAACAACCCAAAAACGTTTGATAAATTAAGGGTAAATCCTTGACTGGGAATAGTTTTAGTATTTATTTTCTGCCACTTTTACTGCTGAATTTATATAACGGTGATCATTGGCTTAGGTAAACGTTTAACTTGTTGTTAACTTCTTGCTAATTTGACAAATTATTATGCAAATACATAAAACACAGATGTTAATGAACCATAAAAGGCATTAGAAACTAATCTTTAAAAATACATTATTTACTTTTTGTTGTTTAGCAGCCCAATAAACACACTTTGGCCACCTATGTTTCAAGTATGTCTTTTCCTTGATGTATATGCTCAACTTTTGTGTAATTCAATGTTCTTTTGTCCTATTTTAACAGTCTGAATAGAAACAGTAAAGACACTTCCAAACGTGGTTGGGCAAAACTAATTGTTATAAAAACAAAGCACACAGCTGGCTGAGTGACAAACTCAAATGCAACTAGGCCCCTGACTTCCTAACTGCTACCTTTCATGTCATGTTAATTGTGTCAATGATTGCTTTGACTTGCATTTCAATGGGTTCAGCCTTAGACAGTAAATTTTGCAAGCTAACATCAGGCTGTTTTCATACATACATACATACATCATCTAAACCGCTTATCCTTCTGGGTCGCGGTGGGGTGCTGGAGCCTATCCCAGCTGTCATTGGGCGGAAGGCAGGATACACCCTGGACAGGTCGCCAGTCCATCGCAGGGCAGACAGACACACATACACATGCACACACACACTCACACCTAGGAGCAATTTTAGCATGTCCAGTTGGCCTGACTGCATGTCTTTGGACTATGGGAGGAAACCGGAGTACCTGGAGGAAACCCACGCAGACATGGGGAGAACAGGCAAACTCCACACAGAAATGACCCTGGTCGCCCAGCCGGGAATCGAACCCAGGCCATTCTTGTGGGATTCCAGTTCATTTCAGTCCGCATTAGAGTTTTTTTTTTCTGACATTCTATCTTTTTCAACGAATTCAGTCACTAATGCTTTTCCAAAATAAATTCAGGGATCCATATGCCAAATGCATATGTTTACTATTATTTTACTGATGCTCTGCCATTATTAATCGGAACTTGTGCTGCATGGACGATATGGGCGTTTTAAAGAGTAAAATGTTAAAACAGGCAGATTATGCAGTGCTGAGAAAAAGCATTACTCTGGTGAATTCTCTCACTTGGTGCAGTGAACTGAAGCAGTGATCCCTGTTAGAAAAAACAACATAGACCAGCAGGGCTGCTCACCAGCAAAACCAGCATATGTTGTATGGTACGCTGGTCAACCAGAATGACTATGCTGGGTAGAATCCCTCTCGCATGAACTTGGCTTTACTGTTTCAGAACTGTCTGGCCTCCAAGCTGAAATTTTGATTGGCTCGGCTGCCCAGTTTGACTCTTTATCGGTTTGTGTCTATGGCTGTTTTCTCACGTAGTTTGTTTGGTAAAGTGAAAACCAGAATTTGGGTTTTTGGTTACATATTTTTGCAACAGATTATATAATTATATACCAGGTAGTAGGCAGGCTGATTTGTATAGACATACAATTTACTTGAATGTAGGCTGCCATGTGATCTACAAATAATCTATCATTTTTAATAATAGATTATGCATCACTGCATCACTTTTTAATGATAATTAATGATAACCGCATCACTTTTTCAGCCATCAATATATGACACATGGCATATGTTGATAGCAGCTGTCTGTAGCTGTCCAGGGGTGTGTTTAATACCTGGCTATTGAGCTACAGCCACGAGTCTTTTTTCTGTAGCCACAGGTCTCTTTTTCAATAGTTTATTATAGCTTCAAACCAAGGTAGGTTATGATTTTCTGACAAGGCTTACACAGTTACTTAGTTAGTTCCCAGTTTATTATTATAATTTAGTACCTATAGTTTATTACAGTACAACAGTTACCATGGTCAAAATACATGAAGCTGTAATTGTCTCTGTTTTTTATTTTATGGATAAAAACATTGGACATTTTAATGATATTTTGACCACCAAACTAGAAATGTTCCCAGTTTTCATTTCAGAAATCTGGTCACCATAAATGTGAGTGTAGGGACTTGGATCGTACACATTGAAACCCTTCAATAGGGTTCTATAGGCTGTGCTTCCACAGGCTTCCACTAACACATTCATGTGGATTATACTATCTAGCAGATTCAGCACAAGTTAAATAAACAAACCGCACTAGAAGGCAGTGAAATAGTAGTAGTAGTAGAGTAGTTCTGATGAAATTTTAGGGGGGGCTGTGCTTCCCATGTAGTCTTAAAGCAACCATCTGTGGTGTCCGGTCACTCCTAACAGAACTTACTATCCATGTTTCTTTGTTGAGCTGAACAGTTGCCCCTCTTGTCTGGTTTGATGCTGATGTAAAATCAACCTTAATCAGGTGCTCCCTCTTTTCCCTCCTGACATGCTTGACTACAGTGAAGCCACCTGCATGAGCCATTAACCCTTCTGCTGTTCCAGAAAGCCTCACCTTCATGTGCCATCCTGATAGGACTGATCCCTGCACAGACTCTAACTGGAATCATTCAGTACTAGACACTGTTTACCTGCCTCATACTACTGAGTTCCTTACCTATTCATATTTATAGCATTAACCATGGATTTCCATCGGTTACTCTGAATAATTCTGTGTGATTAATAATTTAGTCTAATGATTGTCTAAAGGCTGAATTTTTTTCATGTCGACCCCACTTCCTGAACATGCCAATATCTCATAATAAATAACATTATGAGATATTGGTTTGTTCAGGAAGTGGGGTTGACATGTTTATTTTAGGGTATTTGTTCTACAGCATTTATTTGCTGGGTAATTCTGTAAAAGACTCTTATTGTGACGGTGGGGCTAGCTCGCAAGCTGTGTTTATGCTTGTAGAACAGGAAGAACACTGAAAAAGTGCAGATGTGAGTCCAGAGCTCAGGCTTAGAGCAAACTGTTAGCCAAACTCTCTTTGCACATGGTGTAGCTGTGGTCAGTTACAGCTCATTAATAAAGCACAAAGACTTCTGTCTAGGCAGTGTCTTCTTTCATAGCAGGGGACACTACAATATTAATTAATCTATTCTTCATTCTTCATTCTTGTTGTTTTGTTGCGTTATTGTTTTACTATCCTGTGTTGACCAAAGGAGGACGGGCTTGTCTTTTAAACCTGTGAAACTGCTTTGTGACAACAACCAATGTGTAAAGAGCTACGAAATAAATTTGAACTGAACTGAATTTGATGATATTATATTTGAGAAATGCTTACCAAAAAACTTCTGTGATCAAGTTCGATTCAATTAATGCCTGGACGATTCCAAGCATTTCTTGCATTGTTTCTTCAAACATTTTACCTTCAAATACACTGTGAAAAGAAAACACTGTTGTTCTTGTTATTAACCTAAATACAGATGTATAAATTGCAAGAGAAATTTATTTCTGCAATACGCCAGAAATCTCTATACTCATTATTTGGTATCAGCACATCCACATCATTAAAACAGGAGTAGAAATTATACAAGAGAACAATTTTCATACACAGTTTTAACCGGCAACTGACCATGACGAAAGCGTCACTGAGCGAACACCGTGGAGAGAGAGTGTTCAAAATGATAGTGTCTCCATCATTTTACTATGGTACACTGTGGTATACTATGGCATATCTTACCAGGGGTGCATTTTTCAAAAGCTTCGTTGAACAACTACGCTGTAAAAAAAAAGGCTCCTCAGATCAACCTGAAAAAAATACTTCATGTGATAACAAGCAACTGAACTGGTTATATTCAATCCAAAAAATTACATTGATTGAAAGAAACATTCATTCAAAGTATTTATTTAGTCTGAATAAAAGTAATAAAAAAAGAGAGATCTGAGAGGCCAAAGCTAGCCCACCAGAACACCACGCTCCTCCGATTCACGTGTCAAACAGGTTTGCCCCGCTCAGCGAAACACCCGCTGAGGAGCCTGTTAAAAGTGCTCTGGTTATAGGAGACTCAATCGTTCGACACGTGAAATTAGCTACTCCTTTAGGGGCGCCAGCAGTAACAGTTAGCTGTTTACCGGGAGCCAGAGCGCCAGACATTAGCGGCAACCTTAGACTGTTAGCTAATAAGAGATATTCGAGGATAGTCATCCATGTAGGGGCCAATGATATTCGTCTGCGGCAGTCTGAGGTAACTAAGGGTAACATTAGAGAGGTGATTAAACTGGCCCAGACGATGTCCGATGCCGTAATCTGCTCTGGTCCCATCCCAATGTGGCGCGGCGCTGAAGCCTACAGCAGACTCTCAGCGTTAAACTGCTGGATGTCCAAGTGGTGTTCGGAAAATAAAGTGGGCTTTATAGATAATTGGTTACATTTCGAGGGCAAGCCTGGTCTTATAGGTAGGGATGGTGTCCACCCCACGCGGGAGGGTGCTGCCTTACTTTCTTGCAGCATAGCACATAGCCTTTTAGTTAGTCGGCAGAGTAGTGTAAACAGCTGCTGACAATCCAGAGCCGGGACCAGGCCGCAGACAGACAGGCTAAACCGACCGTCTGCGAACCGCCTTGCGGCGTCACCTAGGATCCACTATATTGAGACTGTGTCTTTGCCCCGAATTAAATCAAAATCTAAATGTAGAAAAACTCAATCAGCCCACCTCAATAACCTAATCAACATTAAATCATATTTAGATGATAGCAGCAACACCTCAGTTCTAAAATTTGGGTTATTCAATATAAGATCACTAAACTCAAAAGCAGTCATCGTAAATGAAATAATAAGTGATCATAAATTTGACGTTTTCTGTCTCACTGAAATATGGGTTAGACAGGATGAATATTCAGCACTAAATGAAGCCACCCCTATAGGCTATAATTATGTACACAGCCCAAAATTATCAGGCAAGGAGGTGGATTATGTGTAATCTACCAGAATACCCTAGATATCAGACAGAAACAGTGTGACACTTTCACTTCTTTTGAGGTTCTTTCCATCAACATTACAAATCCGGCCACAAAAAAGAACGCATTTTCATTATTTAACATTTACAGACCACCAGGGCCCTACACAGAATTTTTAAAAGAATTTAGTGATTTCACTGCAAACCTAGCTGTGTGCAATGATAAAGTAATAATTGTAGGAGATTTTAATATCCATTTTGAGAAGGCAGATGACCCACTAAAAAAAGGCATTTACTTCAATCCGCAAAATGTAACAGGGCCTACACACTACTGTAGTCACACTTTAGATCTAGTTCTGACACTTGGACTTGACATAGACAGGCTTAATATCCTACCACAAACCTCAGTAATCTCTGACCATTACTTAATTTCTTATGAGCTACGTCTTAGCCATAATATATGTACGTCCCCTCACTATTCTACAAAGCGCTCAATAAAACCATTTACCGCCCTACAATTCATAGAAAACCTCCCAGAACTAACAACCCAGGTCTCCACTCCATCAGACCCAATGGAGCTAGATGCACTAACCGACTATTTAGAAAATACCTTTCGATCTACTTTAGAAAATGTGGCGCCACTTAAAATCAAAAGGATAAGACAGAAAAAGCTCGCCCCATGGTACGATGATAAAACCCGTACCTTAAAACAAACAGTACGGAAACTAGAGCGGAAATGGCGATCAACCAAGCTAGAAGTGTTCCACTTTGCCTGGAAGGAAAGCCTTATAGAGTATAGAAATGCTCTCACTAAAGCTCGCTCAGCATATCTGGCCTCGCTGATCGAGACTAATAAATATAATCCTAGAGGACTGTTTAGTGTGATTTCCAGAATTACAAAAAATCAGGCAGGCACTGAACCACAAATTCCGGCGACTCTCACCAGTGATGTTTTTATGGACTTTTTTAATAATAAAATTGAAAATATTAGACAACAAACTCAACCCACAGTATTAAATCCAACTTGGCTGTCATCTGATGTGGCTGATATAAAACATAACGTAGTTGCAGAGGAAAGGCTGGAAACTTTCTACCCACTACCACAGTTAGAACTAGAGAAGATTATCTACTCTGCAAATTGTACAACCTGCACACTTGATGCAACCCCCTCAAAATTACTCAAAGAAGTGCTACCAGTTATCATTAATCCTCTTTTAACTATAGTAAACTCGTCCCTTAGCCTGGGCCATGTACCCAGAGCTTTTAAACTAGCAGTTATTAAGCCTCTGATCAAGAAACCAAACCTTGACGCTAGCGTATTGTCTAATTACAGGCCTATTTCTAACCTACCATTTATATCTAAGATCTTAGAAAAAGCTGTAGCCCAACAACTTAGTTCATATCTAGATAAGAACCACATATATGAAAAATCCCAATCTGGATTCAGGCCACATCACAGCACTGAGACAGCTCTAGTTAAGATAACAAATGATCTTCTTCTTGCCTCTGATCAAGGCTACGTATCCCTGTTGGTACTACTTGACCTCAGCGCAGCTTTCGATACGATAGACCACGATATTCTCCTAGAAAGGTTAGAAAACATGGTTGGAATCACAGGGACAGCCCTATCGTGGTTCAAATCCTACTTAACGGAACGTTATCAGTTCGTAAAGGTAAATGATTCATCTTCCAGTTATTCACAAGTAAGATTTGGAATTCCGCAAGGCTCTATTTTAGGACCATTATTATTTACATTATACATGTTACCGTTAGGCACAGTTATAAGTAGCCATGGCATTAACTTTCACTGTTACGCAGACGATATGCAATTATACATATCAGCCAAGCCTGATGACAAATACAGGTTAAAGAAAATAGAGGACTGTGTAAAAGATGTGAAAGGCTGGATGTTACGTAACTTCCTCCTTCTAAACAGCAACAAAACAGAGGTTCTTCTTCTGGGTCCAAAAGTGGCAAGAAATAAATTACCAGATTTAATTTTAAATCTTGCTGACTTTCCAGTTATACCTGGTTCAGCAGCAAAAAACCTTGGCATCATAATTGATCCAGATTTCTCATTTGATCAACACATAGGCAGTATCACTAGGACAGCTTTTTTACATCTTCGCAACATTGCCAAAATAAGAAATGCCTTATCGCTGCACGATGCAGAAACATTAGTACATGCCTTTATTACTTCAAGGCTAGACTATTGTAACGCACTACTGTCAGAATGCACCAGCAGGAATTTAAGTAAACTTCAACTAGTTCAAAATGCTGCAGCCAGGGTTCTCACTAAAACCAGAAAATTTGATCATATCAGTCCAGTTCTATCATCACTTCATTGGCTGCCTGTTAAATTCCGTATCGATTACAAAATTCCTTTATTGACGTATAAAGCCCTACGTGGGCTCGCTCCTGAGTACCTGCAAGACCTTATTTCCCATTATGAGCCACCACGATTACTCAGATCACAGAGTGCTGGCTTTTTAACAGTTCCCAAAATTCAGAAGGTTTCATCTGGGGGAAGAGCCTTTTCTTATAAAGCCCCCAAACTCTGGAATGATCTTCCAGAAAATGTTCGGGACTCAGACTCAGTCGCAATCTTCAAATCTAGGCTGAAAACTCACTTGTTTAGTTTAGCTTTTGGTAGTTAATGTTCCCCCTTAGATAAAGGCAGCAGATCCAGGGGTCCATGGACGCAGGGAATTATAGTAAACTGAGACGCTGGTGCTGTTGTCCCGCCGCTCGCACGCGATCACTCAGGTTTGTGGACGGTGGAGTGGAGGGATGCCAGATTGTTTCAGGGTGCTCCCGTGTCTGTGTGCCCTTTTGGTTCTCTCCTTTTAGTTAAGCTGTTATAGTCAGATTTACCGGAGTCATTAGCCACACTCTGGAAATGTTCACATTCTCTGTTTTACATACACTCAAACAAAATAAAACTAATTCCATCTCCCTTCCTTTTTCCGACTAAACGACTGCCCACCTGCCGGACGGACACTGATGGATGATTGTCTGTGGAGCTCTCCTGCTATCCGCTTCAGACCAGTTGCCCACGCCCCAGTCGCCGCCACTTGCCCAGCTACCGCCACTTGACTTGGACTAGCTGCACACTCCCACTCTACACTGAAGTTTTCATGGACTCCTAACTACTACTACTACTACTACTACTATTAATATTAGTAGTATAATAATTTTGTAGGTAGTTTGACCAGAGGAGGATGGGTCCCCCCATGTGAGCCTTGGTTCCTCCCAAGGTTTCTTCCTCAGCTCTGAGGGAGTTTTTCCTTGCCACTGTCGCCCCTGGCTTGCTCACTTTACATTTCATGTTAAAACTTTGTCTTTAATGGATTTCTGTGAAGCTGCTTTGTGACAACATCAGTTGTAAAAAGCGCTATACAAATAAATTTGATTTGATTTGATTTGATTGGTTAATTTACTTGTTACCACATGAAGTAATTTTTTTAGGTTGATCTGAGGAGCCATTTTTTACAGTGTAATTGTTCAATGACGCTTTCGGAAAATGCACCCCTGATAAGATGTGCTGCAGCAATAGCCATTCAGATCAACTGCTCTCATTCCTCAGATAAGCATGAGTACTGGCAGCAGTACTACTACTACTACTACTACTAATAATAATAATAGTAATAATAATAATATGATTCAATAACAGTTCAACTGGTTATTCTGACATACTTTATTTTACCATAAACAGTAAAAACCATTGAAGTAAATTCAAATGTCTGTAAACTAAAGGTGATCATTTGTTTTTTTAAATGCACATTCTATTTCTGTAAAACAGCAGCAGTGTTAAAATACAATATATGTATGCTTTATTTCCATGCATTTAAACAAAAAAAAACTGGTTTTGCCATTAAATTGTACAGTACTTTAACAGTGAAAATACTTTATGTATAGGAAATGTATGATTCCTTTAATAAAATGTTAGAGTGTAGATATTTCACATCAATAGTTCTGTGTTCTCATCTTATTCCACCAATCCTAATTCCCTAAATAGCCCAGGAAATATTTTGGCTGCTTTGGGGCTCCATTAACTTAAATCAGGCATGCCAAACTGGTGACCTTCTAGTCTAAAGTGCTGTGGAGATCAGCGTTTACCCTCATCTAATGCTGCAAATTCAGATCATGAATGCATTTCTTACTAGCTGATGAGCTGAATCAGGTGTGTTTAACAAGGCAGTGTGCTGAAGTCTGCAGTGTTTTGGCCCGCAAGGACTGGAGCCTGACACATGCGACTTAAATGCAGGTCAGTAGTATTGATAATAGATTTAAGCCTACTATCCGTTTGCTCCTTCTCAAATGGAAGTTAATTATAGTACATTTAGACTTACTTGTGTGCCTGCATGACTTTCCGCATAAACTCATGTGATTCTGTGTATTCCAGAAAGCTATCCCAGTAAAAAATACACACTCTGGCAGCAGCACTATAAAAAAAAGAAATGTTAGAGTCAATTATCTCTATGTCTAAAACATTTTAAAACACATGCATACAACATCTTAAATGAATTTTTGTTTTCTCTCTTTACCTCTATACCTTTTATGGGGAATCTTTTTTTTTTTTTATTTTTGCATATTTCACTGTGATGTAAACAAATTCATTCAGAGTGGTATGATATCAAATGGTGCATTGTAGGAAATTTAGCAGATTGGATTTCTTTTGTAATGGGGGAGATGGGAACCAGGAATCACAATGTCTTCCTCTGAGTTTTCATATGTCATTTTGATTAAGATAAAATAGTGGTAAGTTTTTAAAAAAGTTTTCCTTAGGTACTATTTTGCCTTAGAACACCTGGCAAGCACCTCTTCTCTGAAAGTGTTAAAAAATGCATTATTTAGGCCAAAACCTCATTTCAAAACTATCATAAAACAATGTCGCAGACACCAGAAAGTATATTCAAAACCATTTTAGATAATAACATTCTGTTTGGGAGTTTTAGAGGCGTTAAATGTTTTGGGTTTGTAGTTCCTACCACCAGCATTGTGAACAATTCTGATTCAGTAAATGTACTTAATTAAGAAATCATGAACTAATCAACTATTTTAGAGTTATTCATTATTCAGAGTGACTGAAATTGATAGGAGAATTTTTAATTATGTCATACATTTTATAGATTTACCCAATACATGCAACAATGTAATATACAAAGCAAAAAATGTTACTTGAATACATGTTCAGATAGTTTCCATTCCTAACCTACAGCCAGACTATGTGAATGTACACCACCATTAGCTAACATATCACTGCAAATTCCCTAGGGACACTAACAGTTAGTATTTTTGTACACAGATAAACAAAGAATACTTATAAATCAAATAATAACATTGCTATGTAAGCAAATGTGACTGACAAGTGTCAATGTATTACGTTTTTATTATTAAATATTTTATTGTTAGCCTTTGTTTATCTGACTAGCCCACTACAGTAATGTTAGTTTCTGCTAGCAAATCTGTTATGATAGCATCTAGCCAGCTATGGTGTACATTTACAGTGTATAGTTAGCCAGCTTAAATACTGACATTTGAATTTTGTAACATATTTCCTTACTATGTATATGACAGTTTTACACCGCCTGCTTTCCCATAATGCTAAATATCAGCAATGACAGAAAACCTCTTACATGGCCAACATTAAAGGGGAAGTCCAAGAATTAATGTGTAGTTTCCATAACCTACGTTGTGTTCAGTTTACTGATTGTATAAATTCACTTGTCAAGTGAAGATGATCATCACAAACACTACTTACCTTACTGATACAAGTAATTCATCTTTCTCTTTCTGCTTCTCCAGATCCACAAATTCAGTGACCTTCTCTCTGATTGCATCCACAGCAGACTGTAGTCTTGAAAACATGAAAAATATTTAATATAATATATTACAGCACATGAGGAGCCTTCCCCATGACATTAGAGTAACCTTCCTTAACTTCATTCCCTGGTCATTTATTGCCCTTCTTGTCCTCTAGAGCACTTCACAGACAAGCTGGACATCTTCTGAGTTTCTTTCAAGCTCATTGTCATCACCTTTCAAAAGATAATCTACAATTATTCTGTCTACTACTACCACTGCTGTCACTGTTCGACCTCAGAGAGCAAGCAACATTCATATGGTGATGACTTCTTGTGTGGTCATATAAGGGTAGGGGTTAGGTCTGAACTGCCATTAAAGTGGGTAGGCATCATCTTAGGAAAAGATTTAGCTGGAGGTAAAGTTGTCCCTGTTTTAGTGGTTCAAGTACGTTTACTGGTTTAACTAAGTAAGGCAGATTAATTTTTTCTGACATTTTCCCTGCTCGTATAGTAACAAGGCCCCAAACCCAGGCTAAACGTGCAGCTGATGTTTTATATCTCTCTGACACATTTTTATTCATTGTTTTAGCACCATCCATAGTCCAGCCCCTCATTTCTATACATATTTTCTATACAAAGTCAAAGCATAAAGCATCATTTATATAACTATGTACATATTGTACACACACACACACACACTTTCTAAGCCGCTTATCCTTCTGGGACGCAGGGGGGAGCTGGAGCCTATCCCAGCGGTCATTGGGCATCCAATTGGCCTGACTGCATGTCTTATGACTGTGGGTGGAAACCCACACAGACACAGGAAAAACTGCCGCACAGAAAGGACCCTGGTTGCCCAGCCCAGAATCAAACCCAGGACTTTCTTGCTGTGAGGCGACAGCGCTACCCACTGCGCCATCAGGCCTCTATATTGTAAACAGAGTAAATAATTAGGTGGCGGCAGTTACTGAGAAGCTCTATTTACCAAAATCAACTGTCAGCAGTTCTGCTTTTCTAGAACTTCTCCTAGCCAAGAACATTGGCCCTGCATAGCGGTTGTTCAAGTCTAGCCTGGGGCACATGATCCCTACTACGTAACATTGACATAATCATGCCAACAACATGTCAGGGAAGACATTTATTTTCCACTAGTGTCCCAACAAGCTTCACATTTTGCTACTACCCACTGTCTTGGGATGTAATATCTCCACAAGACTTTTCCTAAAGTAGTTACACTGAGTTCCACTTTTCCACTTCCACACACTCTAGTACTCTTACAGAATACTAATGAACACTAATTCTGAACAAAATCTTGAAAAAAAGTCTTGTAATATCTGTGCATTGTGTGTCTTTATGTTAAGGTATCAGCACAAACTCCTTTTTCTGGCAGTGTCTTAGCTCAAGGATAGCTAAGGAGTATTAGCAGTGGAATGCGTTTTGTAAGTAGAAATCAAATACATTTGTAAGATGCTCTGGATAACAGCACCTGCTAAATGTCGTAAATGTAAAGGTGAAATGTATGTCATAAAATATCATAAATCTAGATGCTACTGCACACCTCTTTTATTAGGGGAGTAAAAGATGATGGTTTAATTGTAAAACAATGTTAAAAACATTATTTGCATCAATCAGTAGCATTAAATCATGGTATTCAGAAAATAAATAGTGGTCTTACCTTTCCTGTAATTTTTTAAAATTCATTTTTTTAAGTTGTAAAATCACGTCTCCAGTTTTAAGAATATTGGTTCTGTTGGATAAAAGTAAGAAATATTAATGTATCAAATTACACCTACAATCTGTTTTATAATTGCAATCAAGTCACATAAGCAGAAAAGTACATTATATTTATTATTTTATCAGACAAACTTTTTAGTATTTGTAGTAGTTGTTCTTGGACTATGCTCTTGCCAAACTTATTTCTGGTCTCTACGTCCCACTACCATTAAAATAAAAATATTTTCTTTAATTTGATCATCATTAATGTACACTGGTTCAAATTCTAGTGTGTTTAAAACACGTATCGTAACTGGGGGTTATTTCCACTGCGTAATGAATGGAGTGATCATTCAATTTTGACTGGCAGATACATGATTCGTAGATGTCAAAATAACACTCCAATATAAAACATTACAAAGGACTGCTCTAAATGTGATACAAAGTTTAAGGTTTAAGCACTTAGTTGTGAAAGATAACATGCATAATTTCTCATAATAGTTAACTATCCATCATTATCTGTTTTTGGCATATGGCCAAGTCTTTGACAGCATCATAAGGTATGTGTTATAATATTTAGCATAACGTATATGCTAACTAAATTATCATTAAGGATTTTTAAGATGTTATATATTCACCAAGCACTTTATTAGAAACATTATACAAATACTGGGTAAGGCCTCTCTTTGCTCTCAAAACAGACTCACTTCTCTGTGGCATGGATTGCATGTTGGAAACTTTCCTTTGAGATTTTGGTCCATGCTGACATGATTACATCATGCACATCCTACTGATTTTTTAGGTGCGCTTTCCTGCTGCGAATCTCCCATTCTACCGCATCGCAAAGGTGTTCCACTGGATTTAGATCCCGTGACTGGGAAGGCCACTGAGGAACACTGAACTCATTGTCATGTTAATGAAACCAGTTTGACATGACTTTTGCTTTGTGTCATGGTGCATTATCAAGCCAGAAGTAGCCATTAGAAGATAGTAAACTGTGGCCATGAAGGAATGCACAGCAATACTCAAATAGGCTGTAGCATTGATATGATGACTGATTGGTATTAAAGGACCCAAAATGTACCAAGAAAACATTCCCCACACCATTACACCACCTCCACCAGCCTGGACTGTTGACACAAGGCAGGTTGGGTCCACAGAGTCATGCTGTTGGTGCCAAATTCTGACCCTACCATATGTGTGACTCAGCAGAAATCAAGATTCATCAGACCAGACTACATTCTTCCAGTCTTCAACTGTCCAGTTCTACTGAGCTCGTGCCCACTGAGGCCTCAGTTTTCTATTTTTGGTTGACAGAACTGGAACCCGACATGGTCTTCTGCTGCTGTAGCCCATGCGCTTTAAGGTTTGACGTGTTGTGCATTCTAAGATGTGTTTATGCTCATCACAATAGTACAGAGTGGTTATCTGAGTTACAACAGACTTTTGATAACCTCGAACCAGTCTGGCCAGTCTCTGTTGACCTCTCCCATCAATAAGGGGTTTCCACCCAGAACTGCCACTCACAGAATGTTTTTTTTTTCTTTTTTGCACCATTCTGAGTGAACTCTAGAGAACGTTGTGCATGAAAATCCCAGGAGATCAGCAGTTATTGAAATACTCAAACCAGCCCTCAAACACATGCCACAGTCAAAATCACTGAGATCACATTTTTTTCCCATTCTGATGGTTGATATGAACATGATTTTTCTGCATGATTTTATGCACTACACTGCTGGCTGATTAGATAATTGCATGAATGAGTAGATGGAGGGGTGTTCGTAATAAAGTGCTTGTTGCATGTATACATCATTAAGTGCTATGACAGTTGTCATAAAGTACCCATCATAGCATCTATCATAAAACATATGCTAAAAGTGTCATAATTAGCTAAATTAGCATGTGATATAATCTGTCATAATATCAAATATTGTGGCATCTGTCAAGACAGTTACTGGTAGAGATAAGTAAGGCTACTTTGTGGAACATACATAATTGCCTTATGTTGTCTTGTCATGCTTGCATAGCAAAGAAAAAGGGGGGACAACATGGAGGAGCATTTTTACCTGGTGGATAGAAGGTAACAGAGGAACTCCAAGGGATCATTTTTGGCTGATGGAGCTTCAGGAAAGTAGCGTGACTCCACAGCTCTGTGAAAATCAAAATGGTTTAAATAAATGATGTTACACAAGAGATATTCAATTTTGGATGTCTCTTTAATATCATTATTTGACCATTTATTGTGGATTATAAGTGGTCACTTTACATCATATGTCACATCAGAACAACTGCAGTACTAATGGAGAAGCTGTATGACTGAATACAGTCCAATCTGCTTTTAGAAGTCTCTTAGCAGAACCTATTCTTAGCAGTTATTATTTCGTTATTTAGTTATGAAGTTATTTAGCGACACTGACTAATATGAATATGAGAGTAGGAGTGTGATGGCCACAACAATTCAATGTGAAAAGTGTACCAATAAAATCTAGATAAGAACATCTAAACAGCATGAAATTGGGTCAGTCAATAAGCTGGCTGACTGTAAATGACACCTACTGTAAAAGAAACTAAATACTTACCCCCAAATCTCCCTCAGTCGATCTCTTTGAATGATCCCCTCTAACATGTTCACAGCTCTGTTGAAGAAAAGTAAGAGATGACTGTAATTATAAACCTGTTTCCATGTGGGCTTCTACTTTTAATATAAAAAAATTCAACCCGCTGTTATCACCAGCAACAAAAGCATGGTGTAATTTAATATTACTGATTTCTCACTCATTGCTTATTGAAACAAGAAGAGAAAATCTGTCAAAAATGTGGATATATTATATATTGTATTATTATTGGAGTGAAGGTAAAATTATTGTTCTTGACTTCCAGAAATAAAACATTGTTTACACTGTCATCTCTTGACATTAAAACAAATAAACATCTGAATAAACATCTTTTCTGAATGTAATTCCATGGGAGGTTAAGGTACATACAACACAAAAACAGCAAACTACAGTTACAAAACAGTACATAACAGGAATTGTGAGTTAATTGTTTCAGAATTAGCCTGTAAATAATGTTCTAAAATGAATATCAGATGATTTTGCACTTCAACCGACAGGTACATAAGTGGGAAGTTATATTATAATAAGTGGCAACTTATTGCTGTTGTTGGAAGAAAACCTTGTATCTCCAAAATGACAACTTTATGAGAAAAGAAAAAAAAAACTACTTCACTTTTAATGTAAGTCAATGGAACCAGACATTTTTCCAAGTCATTTTGGGACATTTTTTTTGGAACCAGACATTTTTCCAAGTCATTTTCAGACTTTTTTTGGTCCATTCTTCATGAAATTTACACACAATGCAAAGGGCAACAGGCCTTTTCAGATTAGGTCAAAAACAGAAAAATAGAGATACAAGGTTTTCTTCCGACAGCAGCAATATATTTTACCTTGTATGTAGCATATTTCAGTTAACACCCTTTGCAGTTACCAATGTTTTCTATTGCTAACAAGTGACTGAAACACTGCCATCACAGTCAGTGACCTATCTAGGACTTCCAGAAGGCTTCTTTTCTCATTAAATTGGTCCCTCCCATTGCAAATCTAGATGTGTGGTTTATACCATGGTGGTTGATACCACTGGTGGTTAATGGTGATTAATCTGATTAATCTTTGAGGTGAATGGAGTAACTGGAGATAGAGGAAGAGATCTTACGGTATATATTGTTGAACACCCTTCTCTGTTGCTAGTGAACGGATCATCCTTTGTACATCGTCCTTATAGAACAGAACCAGTCCTCGGAAAGTGCTGTGAATTATACATTAAGAAACAACTGTTATCTGTAAAGCTCACCGTACATTTACATTTAAGATAAATATGTTTTAGACCTAGAAAGTGCACCTATATGACAGTGTTGCTGATAAAATGTCCAGTGTTTGGAGCTACAAGGTAGGTGTACCGAAAAAACTTGCAAAACACCTCTTTTGTTCGTCAGAATGCTTTCTATTTGGAATCTATTTATGTCTGCTTAGCACTTTTAGCTATGTGAATAAAGTGATGAAGTGATATAGTGTTTATTTTCTTTGTTTTAGTTGCAATCCCAATTATCAATTCATTTTTTAGTTAGGAATGCCCAAATAACCCATTTTAACAATGTCACCTGCTTCTCATGAAGAGTTATAAAATACTGGGGGCCATTTTTATACCATCCCTCTTCATTTGAATTCAGCAGGTTGGACTCACCGTGCTGCTACAACTAAATCATCCTGCTCCCCTTTACCTCTTTCCTCCACACTGATTCTGTTTGCTGACTCTCTGAAAGAATTCCAGTGATCCTGGATTGCAATTCTGGTGAAGAAATTAACGAGAGGTTTATTAATCAATATTCTGCTTTAATTAATGCAGTTCAACAAATTTTCTTCAATTATTTTGTCTGTACCTGTTTGATCTCAGCTGGTTTTCTCTCACCATTCTCTCAGTTACATCTCTGACTTTGTCCAAACAGTTTAAAAACACTTGGGCCCCGAATTCCAACATTTTGTCAATGTTTTCATAATCTTTCTCTGATATTGTAAAACTCTCCACTCCTTTTTATGGATACATAAGAAATTAAAATTAATACACATACATCACAAATAAAATCTTTTTCCTGTTGTTGTAAAGTTGTTGTGGTCCATTAGCTCAACCTAACACTGAGAATAAGAGAGGTCTAACCTCTAACTGAAGTCAAAAATATATTCAAAAAACAATCAAATGAACAAACAAACAAACAAACAAACAAACAAAAAAAACTCATTTTCTTTGGATTTGGACATATGTTTTGGATCAGGTCCCATGTCCCAATCATGTCCACATCTTTTTTGCCAGAGGCAGCCAGATTTTTTTGCATATTTCATGTGGGCCATGATGCCATGTATGGCAACAAAATTTCCAGGGCCTGTGGAGGAAAAACAACCTTAACACATCACAGATCTTCCACCATACTTAACAGTCTTGTTTTTACACCAAACCCACTCAGATTTTTTTTGCCAAAAAGACCTATTTTTGTCTTACATGACCATAAAACCCAATTGCAGTCAAAGTAGCATCCAGTAGCATCTAGAAGACTCCAGTTGCTTATATTTGTGTTCAGATGAAAAATTATTTTCCTTTGGCAAGTTTTGTTGACTTTTAGGGCAATAATTAAAAAGTTCAAAACAACTGTCGTGGAGCCTAGAAGAAGATGGAAATATATTTGGCCTCCAGGCATAGTGAGGCGGATGGTAAAAGAGGTAAAAAGGATCACGGTTGGAGATTTGTTGAAGATGGTAACATTTTGGGGTCATCAAGTCTCTAAAACTACAATTAGACACTACAATCTTCCCCATGTTGAAGAGAAGAAATTTGGTCACTATGTCAGTGCTTAAGTGTTCCTGAACACTCAGGTAGGCTTAAGAAAGTAAAATACAAATGGCAACATGCTTAATTTTTCTTAAATCAAAGTTTTTAGAGGTTCCACATTGTGACACATGTGGAAGACTTACACTAAATTGACCTCAATTGAAAGACTGAGCTAATTAACCACAGACTTTTTTATGACCTTTTTTTTACCCATCTTTACCCAGGGTGCCAATAATATGGAGCTGAAAGTAACAGATTAGTACAACACAGGAGTAAAAGAATGAATGAAAGATCTAAAGATAAGATAAGGTTCATGATAACCAATGATCTAAAACAGAAAGAGAAATCCATAATTATAATGCTTTTGATATACATAAACCACTGTATTCATCCGTTCAGTAAAGAAACAACCAGATAAAATGTTCAATCATTAAAGTGTTTACTGCTATTCTGTTTCACAGCAAAATAATGCTGTCAGAACAAAATCTCATATCTCCAAAACAGCAACTTTACAGGAAAAAGAAAAAAACCTTCATGATGAAATTGTAAAAAAATGCAAAATTTATCTGGAAAAAAAAAATGTACAAAAATGCATATGCAAGGTTTATGCACAACAGCAGTGATTGACACTAACTAATACTTTCCTTTGTCGCCCTGCCTGTTGAGAAGTCTTCTCCAGAGGTTTAGTGTGAACTTAGTCCCTGTGACATTAAACCTTAAATATAATGTATCAGAAAATAATTCTAGCACATGCAACATTGTAATATCATAGCAACTCACCATAAGAGAGAAGTAGGACAAGGCTCAGAACAGTCAAAAGTTTACCCATCCTGAAATAAGTGCTTGTAAAACATAATAAACATAAAGCAAAATAGCTGAAGGACATTACTTTTTGTGAATATGTTAAATAGCCAAAGTAAGAGCACACTTCAGCTTACTTACAACATGTAAGGGATCACAGGGGAGACACAGCGGCAGTCAGTGTAAAGTGACTCCTAAAAGAAAGAAATAAAGAAAAAAGTAAACAGCTTTCTGGTTAATAATTCTGATAATGTATGAGCAAGGTCAGATAAAAGACTTGCAAAAGATGCCATGGAAACAAATTAATCATAATAAATAATCGAAAGATCAGAGTAAAATGAGAATTACAATGATAGTACAATATTATTCTCATATTGCCACTAAAACATTGGTTAGACTACATGACTAACAGATCATAAAAAGACTGGGTATCTCACACGATATGACAGGTTTCTGCAGATTTTTATGGGCGACTGAAATATTGGGGATCACCTCCAGCAGGCTACAGCTCAAAACACAACAGAACAGGTTTGATTTTGGCTTTCTTTCACTCAAACACTTTTATTGTCTACACTTGTAACAGCAGAGCTGTAGATGAAATTGAATCTTCACTGTGGTGTTTGGATCTTTAGGCCACTACACAAGCAAACTGGGCCAGAGATGGCTAACCTTAGCCATAAATCATAAACTGTACCTTTTTAGTCAGCTTTCTGTACATTTGAACAGTAAATGCAAGCTGAGAGTAAGATATGAAACACATTATCTAAATAGATCACAAAAATAAACTTACCAAATTAAGAGATTATTGTTAGAGTAAGATGGACACAGATACAAGAGGGCTAATTCTACCTACAATCCTGCTACATTCACTTGAACAAATCTCTCAATACTGAATCAACCTTTAGTCAGACCAATGTCAACCTTCAACAAGATAAACAAACATGTTACGTCAGTGCCAGAAACAAATTCAATACATAAAATAATGACCAAAGGCCTAACATTGTTTAGTCTGTGCGATCATAAACTCAGAACAGCACTTTTGTGCTACTTACAGAGAGAATAATTAGCAGTTTTTATTTTGCTGCATGAGAGATGCTTTGAACATGTGACTGCAGACAGGAATCAGATCCAGATTCAAATATAGACTCAAGACAGTAGCTGCAAATGCAAAGACTTTCTACAACATTAAAAGAACGTTTTTCAATGCAACAGAGCAGCACACAGCAGGTCAGACTTTTTTCAGATTAGATAATTACTGAAAAAAATGTGCTTTCTGTAACAGAATGAAGATGCAAATACAGAGTTTAATGATAGTGCTTTTTTAACAAGGTGAAAGTGGAAAGGCCCAATCTCATTTCTTATTTTTTTACCCCTACCCGTTGTTTTTGAGTGTCACTTTGAGTTACAAGGGGTAGTGGTTGAAATCTTCCCCTACGAAATGGAACAACCCTCAAAAAAAAAATAAAAATAAAAATAAATAAATAAAAAAAGAGAACATTACTTCATTAACAGGCTACTAGCGGTGCTCTGTAGACGACCCTGCCAGTCTGCAGTGATAGCAAAGGAGGGTAAAGTTCAGCAACCATCGCTGCTGGAAACCACATTAAACTAAGATTATATAATGGTTATTGTAATTTTTCAACAGAAAAAATACTCACATTTGTGGGTTTCTGTGGTCACTCACACGGCCATTTTGTCAGTTTTTCTTTTTTCTCATAAGACTCCATTTGGAGTGTGCCTCTGGAAAAACTCTGTTTGGAGGGTCATGTAGCCCTAACACTTCGCCCTACCCCTCTATCTCAACAAAAAAAAGATGTGAACGTGCAAAACCGTGGGATAAGGGCTAAGTATGGTCTTCCACATATGGTAATTTAACATTTTTTCAGTTTTAGGCATGAAATAAAAACACCACCTCCCACCACATGATCAGGTTAGCATCTTCCTGAATTGGGGGTTTATACTGAAGAGTTCTGTCAGGGGGTTTCCTTTGCTTGATGGGGCCCTCACAGGCCATTGTTAACAAGTGATTGGTTGAGAGCCGCGTCAAGAAGAGCTGTGTCAAAACTCTGAGAAAGTCACAGCTGCCTTAGTTGTTGCTGCTATTTTCTCAAATGTTCCGTTCAGGCTATCAGTCGACTGACTTTACATTGTTAAGCAAGGCATAAAAAAGAGGGTCTAATGAGTTAACTAGCAAATCAGAGAATCACATTTATTGCTAGAATAAAATTATACAACAGACTTGAGCCGCAATCACTCTAGATATTTGCAGTGTGTAGCAATTTGAGAAATGGCCATAAGCAAGTCTATAGCAGTGTAATGAAAATAGTTGACGCTGTCAAAAGCTGACTGTGATTCTTGCAGCATCAACTTTTCACATGTAAAACTTTTCACAAGTAAAGAGTAAAAGTTTATGAAAAAAGTTGGCACTGTACAAAGATTTGTTGTGCCTCAGTGTTTAGCATAGCAGCCATTTAATTCATTGTTTGGCAAGCGCATTAGCTCAAATGGCCAATGAGAAGTCTGTATGGTATTTTACTCTGCTGATGTTATAAATTATGAGTGCCTTAATGTGCCACAGACATGTCTCAGAAGTCTGAATGAGTGTGGCTATGCTATCTAAAGTTAGAAAAGTGTTTCCACATTATTTACTGAACAGAATGTGATTTACCTTGTGTAGATGACGAATGCCCCTCATCTAACTAACCTTAAACTGACTGTGTTTCAACCCACAGTGGCTAAAAGATTTCCCTTTGCTTTTAATTGACTGAGGCAGTTTGACACTGACTTTGTTGTACAGCCCTGTTGGAAACTTGCCAACCCTAAACACTGATGATACAGAGGTGAACATGCGTCTTGAGTATCAGGAGTATATCTTAATAAGGCCAGGCCACATAAAAATGCAAGTGTAAACGCACCCAAGACACATTCAAAACAGATACAAATCTGATCACTCAAACCACTTCAGGACGTGGTCTGAGACACATTGAGCCACATGTTATAGCAGTGTAAATGCATCCGTCTCTCCAAGTACGACCAAAATCCCTCCTCATGCAGTATGTTACTGGGCACGTGATGCGTAATTATCTTCCTTCTGTGAGGAACACAGTCATGGAGAACGCACATGGTTGAGGACTGGATGAAAAAAAATGCTGGATAGCAATGTGGACAGACACCACTGTGCAAAAACAAACTGCAGATGAAGAGGCTAAACGGATAAACAATTGGTAATTGGTTGCTGCGTAATAAGCAGATTTGCATATTCCATCCAACACAGCAATCAGAAATCAGTCTAATTAACCAAAGACACATTTGACTAAAATCTTTCAGGATACAATCCACATACTAGTCACATGAAGTAACTAGGTGTAAACGATGTCTTAGGCCTTGTTTAGACTGCTAACTCAAATAGGATTTTTGGCATATCCAGATTCTATCCAGATTGAATTTTGATAGTCTGGACAGTTAAAAAAAAACAAAAAACAAAAAAAAACAAATCAGATTCAAACCACATTTGGAGGTGGTTTGAAATTTTATTCTAATCAAATTTTTACAGATGTCTGGACGCTCTAGCCACTCATATTGGATTTCAAAGTGTCTTTTGCGTCACTCGCAATGCGACAAATAAAGACAATATCAATTCCAGAGTGACAGAAGTGCTGGGATTCAAGAAGAGATTGATGCTTATGGCAGAGAAGTTTGGAGGGTGAGATGATGCACCTCCATCTCTCCTGCATCTACGTTTGAAATCCGCATTACCAGCTTGACTACATACGTGGGTTGCTGTGGTTGCTTGCGTCATTACCGCAGCAATGCAGATAGGTTGGTGATGTCTGGACACGCAAACCTGGTCTGATCATTTGCAAATATCAGTGCAGACAGTCGTTTCAGAAAATCTGATTTGAGAAACAAATTTGACTGCAGTCTGAACAGAGCCAAAGTGATCAAGTCATGATTTCAGTAAACAAAGCTTTGTGGTTTAGCACTTGGGGGTTGACATAGTTTGTTCACCTAGTGATTTCCAACATATTGTCATATTGTAGGTTCATATTAACATACTTGTTCAAACAAGCCCTGGCTGATAGTCAGTCAATGATATCACTAACATGTTAACCTCTGAAAGTCCCCAGCTGTGCAAATAATTTGCGATACACAATTCACTTACATGCACACATTTTGTTATTTGTACTGCAGTCACAAAAATGTACACAAAATATAAGATGACTATGATTCAAATATAATAGTTGAGTTAATTGGTTCAAAATGAAATTGACTGGTTCAGTTATTTCAAAGCTTTAGAAACCTGTTTGTCCCATCAGTATTGTGCACTGATCTGTGGCAAAAAAAAATAGATAACTGGCATTGTTGGCAACAATGGGTTGACTTGTCCAGTCAGCTACAGTTAGCCAGGGAGCTAACACAGCAGTTAGCAAACGGGCCAACTCACCTACCATGAACAGTAAAAACACAAAGTGAACATAAAGATATCAGAAAATTATATATTCTCCACAGCATAGCACTGCACACAGATCTGTAGCAAAAAAGTATATGTAACTAGCGTGGGTGGTTGGGGTGTGAGCTGGCTAACACTTCCTCAAACAGTAAAACCACAAAATAAAGATAACAATACAGTCTCCCGACTGACTGTATTATTCAGTCGATACTTCATGTGAGCAAGAAATGTTTAAAGGCTTGTGCTTAAACACAGCTTAAATTAGTGTTAACCCAAATCTGGAAGTTTGGTGCTGTTATATGAAGGGCTGCCCCTTCAGAGTCAGCACTGCCAAAGCAGAAGCTCAAATGGTCGAAGACATGAAAGACATTAATTAGACATGAAATTTTGCATGCAAAATTTATTAACCCCTGGAGTCTCCAACGCAAACCACTCATCGTGGCAAATTCCACTGAAAAGAATGTAATTTTGCTTGCTAATTTTGCTTACATCCCAACTGATAAACATATATTTTTATGGGGTGACCTCAACATGCCAGTTTAAAACTCCAGATTCTGGGGTTGGAAGACAAGCGTTTATTGTGTCATCCACCAGCCAGAAACTGATTTAAAACTGAATGCAGCCTCCAGAAATAAACTAAAAAAAAAACTCAACACTGGTTTGGAAACCAAAGGAACACCAGAGGTCATGTTTCTGTTTATTTATAAATTTTTTGTAACTCTTTAAGTAGAGCTCAGAGCAAGAGGACCAGCGTAGTACTGTATCCTGCCACTGATTGGTTGGCTGCTCCCTGTGTCCCTCTGGTGGCAACATTAGACTGTGTTGGCCTTTTAATGTATTGGTTAGTGCAGCACAGTGGGTATTTTTGCTGCCCCTCTATTCACAGCAGACTAGGGTTCAATTCTCCACCCAGACAAGCACAGCACACCAGTAAGAGTCCTTGGGCAAGACTCCCAAAGATTCATTTCCCTAACTCTGTAACATGATTATACTGTCACTCTGCAGGGTATTTCACAAAGCAGGATTTTTGACTTAGCCAGATAAGCCTAAAGTTAAGAAATGTTTCCCAGGGCTCAAACCAAGGCAAGACATGCAGAGGCACACCTGGTTATGTCACCTGGTTAATGATCTAAGAAAGAAGGAACACTTGTCTGGCACATGTTCCAATATTTTTGTTCACTTGAAAAATGAGTGGCTGCCATGGTCTAAGTTGTTTAACACATCTAGATATTAATATAATAATCCAATTGGCTTCATTTTAGGCACAGGGAAAATATATTACAATAAGGTACAGCTCACCTTATACAAATTCACAAATTGCTAACCAACCAAAGACTGGTTCACAGTTCACCTGCCATGTGATCAAGAAATGAAGGGAGAACTTTTGAGTCTTTCTCATGAATGTGAACCTCATCACACTGCACAAAAGGGAAGCTGTGATCTATGACAACACAAATTAGTATTTCATGAATAACACCTGTAACCATGATTGCTTTTACAAGTTTTATTCAGTAAATGTCAAAACTGTGAGGATTCACCAAAACTACTAACTGTTGTCCAAAAGAACACTGTCCTCTTTCAGCATGTTACACAGATATGAAGTTCCAGCTCTCAGTCAGAGGAAAATATATGTAATCAAGCAACACCAGAGAAGCTTTATACAAGTTCCTGAAAGAAACAAACACGTGTAATGAACAACACATCATCACCACCATTACGTTCAAAATAAAGTGTTTAAAATCAAATAAGTAGAATAAGAATAATAGTGTTTAGCCATTATTTACTGTCTTTTATTGTGAGATAGTTTAAAATATCAAACAGAAAATAAATGTTATCATTATTTTTAGAAATTGACCTGCCCATGCTCTGCCCACAAACGTTACACAACACTGGCAAAATCTCACTAAATCTAGTTTGAAATTGTAGCATATGTGAATCAATATGCCAGTTATTCATATTTACATTGCTTTTGTTTTGAGTTGCTACATAACATTGAGTTTTCAGTTTAAAATGCTATGCTAACAGCTGGACGATGCTATAGCTAATGAAACGCAGGCAACATGGAAAGGACATTGATAACACAATCCAACTTAAGGTGAAGTAAATAGATCATGTAGTAACAGTAGTTACATGTAGCCCAGCTTTAACATACGAACAACATATGTACAATGAGTTGCTAGTTAAGTATTAAAGTATTACAATTTCTTTATTTAAAGTAGTCTAATTTTGCATACATTAACATTACAACTAATTTTCATTTGTTATTTTTTGTAATTGAGTTTAACTGATCAAAAAAATTGTGATGGTTTTAAATGTCACGTTGGCTATACATTTCTTTTCAAGGAAATGGTCTAAATAAATAAATAAAACATGTCCTACCATAAAGAGTCGCGCATCCCATGTTCACCTGCCCGATTTAAAAACCCAAAAAAGTCTTCCACAAAGACTCTATTGGTTGGGATCATAAAAAGAATAAAACAAGAGTGATGAAGTCAGGATATTTTAACATCTCTCACCTTCTAACACAATCACCTTCTATATGGACCACACAAATTCTGCACAGCTCCTTCACATTAACAGCTTTCTAAATGTTTTTTAATTATGTCTTCAATCGTAAGCGTGCAATGTATTCACTTTATATATTTAATTCCTACTAAATTCCTGCTAATTTTAAAGAATTAAATTAATTCCTAATTATAATATTAAAATGAAAACAAAAATCTTGTCACTTTCAATGAGTAGGTCAGCCAAAGCAACAAAGCAGGAAAGCAATTTGTCTTGAGGCCAATTTAAATTCTGATATGCCTAATCCATGTCACATCTATGCATAAAAGTGAATTTATTTTAGGTTATTTAAATAAATTAGCATAGTAAGTGGTAAAGATCCATATCTGATATATATATATTAATCACCAGGTGTTTTTTTGTTTGTTTTTTTTTAGCATTACCAGTTTTTTAACTTCACCAGTTTTTTGTTGCCCCTGTCCCAGCTTTTTGAAACATGTTGTTGGCATCAACAACAAAATGGGCATATATTTCTCAAAAAAAAAAAATATAAAAAGTTTTAATATTTGATATGTTGTCTTTGTACTATTTTCGATTAAATACAGGGTTTAAATGATTTGCTCATCATTACATTCTGTTCATATTTACATTTTGCACAGCATACCAACTTTTTTAGAAACAGGGTTGTACTAATTTATTGATATAAGAGAGCATTAAGTGGTAAACAATCAGATATATAAAAATGAAGTTTGGTCTTTAAAACAAGTCACAAGAATCATGTAAGTGGTAGTGACTGCTGTGGCTTCAGATTTGTGTAAAACTGACCCACATGAGGAGTGACCATGTTAACTAGCCTCAGAGAACTTCAGGACAGAGAAAAATAAATAAACTAAATATTTTTAGTCAAACCACGATTATATTTTAAGATGCAGTGAGAGTAAATGTGGATCCTCATGTGTGGTTGTGTTACTGATGACAAAGTTCATGATCTTTACCATGCTAAGGCAGTCTCACTGAGAAAGTTTATTGTTTTTGAAGACATTCTATTCTAACATAATAACACACATGTTTTAGCTGCATATAACCATCATATACATCTTTTCATTTACGTCCACACCGCAACAGTTCTGTCTTTCATTCTTTACCTTTCAGATTCTTCCAGCTCCTCTTGAGTAATCGGTCCACTGGCCAGCAGCTTTTTAGTGCAGATCTTTCTCATTTTTTCCAATTTCCTGTGACACAAAGAAGAGAAAGACTTGTAATGACAGAGGCATTGTTGCAGGCTGCATGTGCACAGTAGCTTTATTTAGGGCAATCCAGCAACTGTAGTCATCAGCTGGCAGGTACACACAAGGAAAATCTACATAATCTACAAACAACCAGAAAAACCAAGGACAACAAAACAGCTTTGAAATGCACAGAAATAAAGCAACACTTTACAAGGCAGTAAATGTACACAGCAGATAATGACCTTCACCCAAGTTGCGTACGGTCAAATCTGACTGTAAAATGAGCGCACACAAATTTCACCACAGTTTTGTCATTCATCACTTTCATCTTTACCGTACAATCAAACTCACTTCTGGTATAAATTTGAGAGTAATATTTCTACAGCCTGAAAAATGTCTGATTTGTGGTTAAATAATCAAAAATATTTTCAAGAACAACATGATAATACTAATAACTGTGTACCCAGCAGTCCTTGTACTAAAGTGGATGTCCTTCCTCTTTTACATGCATACTGATGTAATCAAAAGCTGCTACTATAGTTGAAACTTTTGCTTTACACTACTGGTACAGCACCTCACTACCTCCCTAAAACACAAAGCATAACTATCCAGTACAGCAGAAGTTCATCTACTGCAGTATTATCACTGCTGTATTTTATGAAAATAACATCACAATAAAATCACAAATCACACTCACCACTGGGGGGCAACAAGATTTATTTTTTTTTTATTTTAACAACATTTATTTCATATTTTTTTCTATTCAATCATTGTAATTTTAACAGTATAAAGATATTTCACTTTTGCCCAGTAGGGGGAGCAATGCACTTCTGGACCTTCCTCAAACTAATACAGCACCAGTGCATAATGAGGGAGTCTATGTGGGAGTGGAGGGGCATTGTGGTTCCCACTGGGCAAAAATAGCAAACCACTTGAATATGCAGGCAATACAACACCAAGATTATTTGTTGATATACATTTTTGGGAATAGGCTTTACATGTACAAGAAATATCAATGCTATATTATGATTAACATCACCTTTATTGCAGAAATAAAAATGTGTTTCCATTATACATGAGATGTTATTTTTTTTTAAAAATACCTAAAAACATTAGAAATTCATATAAAGCATTTTGGAATGAATCTCTTGCTAACTTTTACAGGCAAAATAAGCCAAAATAATTTTCTAAATATTGTAAATATTTTCAAAAATCATTTTGAGAACAGTGTTGCAGCAGCACATTAATTCTACCCTAAATTGTGATACTGAAAGAACTGTAATTTGGTGTAAAACATTGAAACCATTTGAGTAGGAAGAAAAATCACCCAAATTTGGCAGATGCTTTTGAATCTGGTATCTGTATCTAGTAAATTAGACTGAGCAAACCTCTATCTATCAGCTAAACCCCATGTGTCAAACATCTGGTCCCGCGGGCAGATCAGGCCCGCCACACAATCCTATCTGGCCCGCAAAAGTATTTTAATTTTCTATTTGCCTGTTTCACAATGCTCTGCACTACAATCCCCAGCATGCACTGCAAAGTAATGTGTTCCAACTCTCCTATCCCATCAACAATCTATAGGACAGTGGTTACACCTCAGTTCTACACAATTCTACACAAATCCACACCAGTCATATCACCAAAATGCATTTCAGCTGCAGTTTAACCAACATAAACACTTCACATTAGCTCAGCAGCTCAGAAGCTCAGAGCCCTTAATGAACTGACAGTAAAGAAAGGATACCAGGTGTCTAGTTCAAGCAGATAGGTAGGTTTAAAAGACTGAGCTCCTGGGGACATTTAAATTTTGAATACTTCAAGTGTCCATGTAATATTTCAAGGTCTACTACAAGTGCCTATATTTTACTGATGAAGTTTCTGCGTATTTTGAATAAACAATGGCCAGCTCGGGTTATAGCACAACGTTAATTAAAAATGTAATAAAACATTTTTTTCTCTGGCCCACAGATTTAATGATATTTCTTAATATGGTCCTTTTACTGGTTGAATTTGACACCCTTGCGCTAAATAGTTGTCTGTAAATTTTTTCTCCAAGATGTTCATAACATCTGTACTTACTTGGCAAGTTGTTCTGCATCACTGTCATCAATATTTTTATCAATTAGTTGGTTTGAGTAGTTTGAAAACAATCGCACACCAGCCCTTGTAAAGAAACAGACAATTTAGTCAGTGTAACACTGTCTTTAAATTCACGGCTATGGAAAATAGTTACGCAGCTACAAGTTACATCTTACCTCACTTGTGGAAGCAAGATTACTGTTGTATTCTCTTTCTCTTCTTCTAAGACTCGTTTAGCCTCTTTATTTAAACTTTTCAAGTGTTTCATGTCATCACCTCTGTGAGACAAACAAGAAAAATGGTACTGGCTAGTTTAAGCATATTACAGTGACCCGTTACTGGCTGTGGACATACAGGATACAGGATACATGGCCATGCTGAGCGGCCATGTACAGAGCCTCACAGAAATGCTGTACTTGCAGTAGGAGATACTTAAATCGTTGTTGCTGATTTGTCTGGGATGTGTGTGTGTTGCTTGTGTCGCTCTATGCTGGGCTGTGGGGTAGTTTGTGTGGATTTACTGTTTATTATCAAGTAGAGTTGTGTGGTTAGAAGTGACTTGCCTGCTGAGCAGCAGGTTCTCTGCTGCTGTGCTCAATAGCATTCATCTAAAGCACAGTGTTTGCTGTGTCGTCTTCTTGGCCGACGCCAATTTATTCTGCTCTTATTCAGTCTATGCTGGCTTTGTATTATGTTCCACATTGACTATGACATTGCTTATGATGGGTGCACAACACTGGTCCTGGAGGGATGATGTCCAGCACAGTTTGGTGATTTACCTACTCAAACACATCCAATAAACCTGGAAATTAACAGATGAGTTGAGCTTTTTTATGTAGGGTGTACTGTTTTTATCTTTACAATGTTTTACTTGTATTCCTGTGTAAAGCACTTTTTCTGCATTTTGTAACTAAAATGAAAAGTGCAACATAAATGAAGTTTACATAAATAAACAAGTGTGCTGTACATTTGGCTTCCAACACTGGGCTTCCTGATTGCACCCTTAGAAGTCTTCCCAATGTGTCCTAAGCTTACCTCTGTTTTATAACCTGTAGAATAAAATAGATGTGTTTTTCTTTAAGTGAGGCATAAGCTGGTTTCTACCCTCATCATTCACAAATTATAGCTATGTTTGTGTAACAGGACAAAAAATGTCTATAACAGAAAACTGAAACTTTGCTACAACAAAAAGTTCGGACAACATATGGAAAACATCTCATATATTGTCATATAACGTGCAAAAATCTCATCATGTTCTTTACAGTGAATGCATTTCTTGTTGCTTACCTGAAAGTCTGAAACTCTTCTTCTTTTGCAAGGGCAGCGGTTATAATGTTAACTCTGTACAACAGTCTAGTGATTGCAGGAAACATGTCCATTTCAGTCAGCTTTTCCCAAATAGGTGCGGAAACAACAGCATCTAATTTGACAAAGGCCCTGCAAAATGGTAAGAGAAGGACATATTTGGTCATTGCTTTCTGTTTGCCCAGTAAAATGTAATGCTAAAACTTACCTTAATAATGCAAACATGATCAATTAACATCTCTGGCTCTTCTACAGTACACACAACACTGTGATTTTAATGCGTGTACATTTAAAGGTTTACAACGTTTACTCTAGTTTCCCAACATACATTTCTCATCCAAATATCATATTGTTACATCTTGGCAAAGAAGGAGACGCAGGAAACATTGTGCTTTATGCTAATGCTCAGGGTGGCAGGGGTTCAGAATGTCCACAGGTCCCAGTAGCACACATGCCACAGGGCACGCGCTCTTCGGCCACATGCACCATAGCAGAGAGACTGTGGGCTGTGTCCTCCTTCCCCCTTCCTTGCCTGAGCTGTGATGGCTTAAAGACTGGCCAATGTGGCGAGCGGCATGTACTGACCCTGCTCCTCTGGCAGCAGTGCGCCTTGGAGGTGCCCCGGCACCAACTCCTATGTGCTTTCTTCTCAAACACCGGACACCGGACCAGGCCACCATGCTGCTCCACCAGCCGTCGTCCAAGCATCCTTGCTGCTGCCTTTTTTGCTGCCATCTGCTGCCCCTTCTATCATCTTTCCTGCACTGCTTCTTCCTCCACAATCCTCGGCCGTGCTCAGCCTTCTCCACCGTTGTTCATCTTTAAGTTTGTAGTAGCGCCATTCTCCTCCAGACCACTGGAGGGCACTATCTCACTTCTGACACCAAATGTGACATCTTGGCAAAGAAGGAGGTGTGAGGAACATTGCTCTTTTAAGGAATGCTCTTTATTGAACACAGAAGCCATGGAGAACTGCCGATCAGGGTTACTGAAATATCAATGATAGCAGACAGGTCCCTTCTAGCCAGACAGTTCAATTTAATGGCAGACACAAACTATATATATATATATATATATATATATATATATATATATATATATATATAAACCACACCACAATAAAACAAAACTAACATGTAAACACATCTTAAACTAACAACAACATTGTTAGCAACAGCAGCAACAGTACCTTTTCACACCGGGAGTGTGGCACCTCCCAAGAGTCATTTTACATGGTCACACTTCTTAAGCTCCTAGCAGATGCCACAGTATCGCAAAATGAGGAGATGTTAGATAAATTGGTTTGCTAATTAGGAATGGGTATGTACACATACACATAAACACATACACACACACTCTTGTCCTTTTTGATCAGGGTGTGAAATACAGGGGCTCAGAATCAAAATTCCAGAGGGATCCATGAAATTGAACTTATTTAGACATTATGCTGTCTGTTCAATAAAATAAACAAAAATTTAACTCAAAGAAAGGTCATTGTTTAGCTGCTACAAAACGACTAGAGATTCAGCACTGGTCTGTCTCAGGGTGGTGCTGTAGCAAATTGGTTCACCCAGTCGGTCCTTCATAGCCTAGAAACTGTTACCAACGCCCAAGATACCCAATTTCCCAAGAGATTTGTCCTGCTCTACTGAACTAGAAAAGAGAAAATAATGGTGTGGAAGCCTGTTGTTCAATAAGGGTTGTTCCAAGCTCCAATTAAAACAGTGTGTATTTGAATCGGCCATTAAAATTAAAGCACGGCTTCAGTAGGGTTTTATGAGATGCGCATCAGTAGGGTTCTATTGGCTGTGCTCCTGTTGGCTGCCACAAACACATTCAGACGCAACTTGCATTACATAAACAAACTGCAACAGTCCTGGAGTCAATATTTTACACTTTGTAATCACTAAAAATATTGAATTGCATTATGATATATTAGCAATACAGACACCTTGTTAACCATTTCAGTGCCATGTTATAATGAAATTTTAGGAGAAGTCTTTCTTAAAGCAACCACCATCGCTACAAATAAACATGAGTAAAAGTACTATGATTTAATTCTGATTCTAATTCATAGCTTTCCACCTGTTTATCATGCACTTTTTAAACAAATTTATTTGTTGAATTCCTGTATTTGAAAAACAAAGTGACTTCCTCTTCTTTTTATGCTTTTGCTTTTTCTTCTTAGAGTACAGAAACTGTAGACTAGTTGTTTAGAGAACTGCTCTTACCTTTCAGTTTTCAGTTTCCTGTCGTGACCAAGAAATCCCAAAGGATTAAAAGACATGGTGTAGACAGTTGACATCATGGCGCTATAGATGTCCTCAAAATACATCCAATTTAACCTTAAAAGAAAACACGATATTATGGAAGAATAAATATCACAAACTGTAGCAAAATATATGACAACATAAACGATCAGTCATATCACATAAAGGAATTAATTTAGTTCTAAAATAAAAATGTAAAATTGAATTGATAAAAAATAATAAGTGATCAATAAGCCTAATTATAAATAGCATATTTGCACAACCACCTCTAAAACTCTTGCACACTCTGGAATGGCCTATGTGTCACATTTATACTGCAAGCTGTTATAAGCATCCAACTAATGGAGGTCTTGATAATCAGTTGATATAACATATAAAGTGTGCACACCATGTGGTGTAGGAATGCCAAAACCCTAAATGTAAGATGGGTTGGTACCATTTATTCATTCATTGTTTAATAAATTAATTACCACCCACATGAACAGTCACCTTGGGTCTCCTGGGTTCCCACCTTCTTTAAAGTTATGTTTATATCAGTAGGAAACCAAGAGAAAATTTGAAATAAAAAAAGTTGAAAAACAATTTGTAGACTAATGTTATTATATTTGAGAATTTTTTACCATAAAGCTTCCTCGATCAATTCTGATTTGTATGTTAACATGAGGAGTTCTGTCATTGCTTGCATTGTTTCTACAAACTTTGCTTCATTTAATTCTCTGTAAGAAGAAAACATCATTATTGGTCCATTTTTTTTATACAAACAGAGGTGTATAAAGTACTTGTTTTAAAGTACAGATTTATTTTGACATAAGCAAGCATATATTGACAATACACACACACACATCTTCTAAGCCAGACATATACATTCACACCTAGGGGCAATTTAGCATGTCCAATTGGCCTGACTGTACGTCTTTGGACTGTGGGAGGAAACCGACGCAGACACGGAGAGAACATGCAAACTCCACACAGAAAGGACCCCGGTCGCCCGGCCAGGGAAACAAACCCAGGCCCTGCTTGCTGTGAGGTGACAGTGCTACCCACTGCCGCTTTTTTGCTTTGTGTCAGTGAATTATTGTACAATGAAAGACTCACTTCTCTGCCTGTTCATATTTCTGGTCAAACTCTGGAGATTCGGTGTATTCCAAAAATCTGTCCCAGTAAAAAATGTCCACTCTGGCAGCTACACTGTGAAAGAAAGAATTGTTATGGTTAGTTCTTCTTGGTCATTTTTTCCACTGAAGAAAGTGTCATAACCTTTGGTACCAGCAAACTGGAACTGTACTTTTTTCATAAGGATTGATAAAAACAGGACCTAATGGTCCTCGAGTGTTCTGCTCTGGCAACACAGCTAAATACAACAGCAATTTGGCAATTTCTTTACTTACCCAGTGTATATAGACATCAAGCACTATTACATTACAAATGCAGTGTTGGGTAGTATCGGAATACATGTAACAGTGTTCCATAATGAGGATATGAAAAAAGTAACTGCATTACATTACAGTTACAGAAAAAAAGACAGTAATCATATTACAGGTACATGGTATAATGCGAGGTGATAATATATACAACCTCGTTTCCAAAAAAGTGCTGTTCAAAATGTATATAAAAACAGAATGCAACAATGTGCAAATATTTTTAACCCTATATTGAATTGAAAATAGTACAAAGACAACATATCAAAAATTTGTTTTTTATATATGCCCATTTTGAATTTGATGCCTGCAACCAATAAAGTTGAGACCGGGCAACAAAAGACTAGTAAAGTTGTGTTTTGAAGAAAAAAAAAAAGGTCTCACAACTAATTAGGTTAATTGGCAACAAGTTAGTAACATGTTTGGATATAAAAAAGAGCATCCCAGAGAGGCTGAGTCTTTCAGAAGTAAAGATTGGGAGGAGTTCACCACTCTGTGAAAGACTGTGCGGGCAAATATTGCATCAATTCAAGAATAACATTTGTCAATGTAAAATAGCAAAGAACTTGGTGATTTTATCATTTACAGTGCATAATATCATTAAAAGATTGAGAGAATCCATAGAAATCTCCGTATGCAAGGGACAAGGCTGAAAGCCAATATTTGTTGGCCTTGATCTTCGAGCCCTCAGGCTGCACCATGTCAGGATGAAACCATATATAAAAAGGTTCCAGAAATGCTGCACCTTTCTCCGGGCCTGAGCACATTTAAGATAAACTGATGCAAAGTGGAAAAGTGTTCTGTGGTCCACTAAATCAAAATTAAAAACTCTTTTTGGAAACCATGGACACCATGTCCACCAGGCTTAAGATGAAAGGGACCATCCAGCTTGTTATCAGCACACAGTTCAAAAGCCAGCATCTGTGATGGTGTGCGGGTGCATTAGTGGTATGGGTGACTTGCACATCTGGTAATGGTGTGAAGGCACCATTAATGTTGAACAATATACACAGGTTTTGGAGCGACATGTGCTGCCATCCAGACAACGTCTTTTTTTCAGGGAAGGCTTTGCTTATTTCAGCAAGACAATGACAAACCACATTCTGCATGTATTACAACGTCATGGCTTCATAGTAAAAAAGAGTCCTGGTTTTAAACTGGCCTACCTGCAGCACAGACCTGTCACCAACTTGTTAACAATTGTCGAATTAAAAAAAAAAAAAGACAAAGGAACACTGAACTGTTGAGCGGGTTAAATCCAACATCAAGCAAGAACGGGAAAACATTTCACTTTCAGAACTACAGCAATTGGTCTCCTCAGTTACCTAACACTTACAGAATGTTGTTAGAAGACAATGTGATGTAACACAGCAGTAAACATACCAACTTTTTTGAAACATGTTGCTGGCATACAATTTAAAGTGTGCATATTTTTTAAAGCATAATAAAATTTCTAATTTTCAACATTTGATATGTTGTCTTTGTACTATTTTCAATGAAATATATGATTTAAATGATTTGCACATCATTGCATTCTGTTCTTCATTTACATTTTGCACAGTATCATCACGAGATAAACAGTGGTCTTACCCATATTGCAGTTCTTGAAAATCCACCTTTCTAATTTGTGAAACCACTTCTGCTCCAGTTTTAAGAATGTTCTCTATGAATGTTTCCACAGTGCTGTTGGATGCAAAAAAAAAAAAGAATGTTAATTTACCAAATTACACCTGTGATTTGTTTTATTATTGCAATCACCCAAGTAGAAGAATCCACAATATTCAATTTTCACATATTCACCACACTGACAGAAAAAAGTACTGTACTGTTTTTTTCATTCAAGGCTCAAACAATGTAAGTGTACTCTCAGAAGTACAACAATGATTTTATGTTCCAACTGTGTACTTTAAATAAATTTTTCCCAGGAGAAATGTACATGTTTGTACCTTTTTATAACCTTTTGTTTTAAAATAGAACAATAAAACAAAAAGGCTTGAGACAAGGCAGGGTTTGTGGAGTCATTATAACTTGCATTAATATAATTGCAGTGGATAATACTACAATTACGTTCCTTAACTAAAGATATTGAAGACTTATCCTAAAGGGAACCCCCCCCAGGTATTTTAGGGAGACTGCCCCAGTATCCCCAGTTTAGCACCTTTTTTCTCAGAGTGTAGAAATATATTGCTTTAAGAAATTTTAAATGTACCACAATAGGTATTATCATTAATGTGCCAACTGGAATGAAACTGACTATTCAAATATATGTTTACTGGGGCATTTCACTCTACCAATGAACCAGGCCACCATTTCATGTTCAGGCAGGGCACCAATAATCAAAAATCGTAAACATACTGCATTAGAACAAGGTCTAGAAATGATACATTTTCATTCAATGTTGGGCTGGCCAATAACAATATAGTATATGTTTATATAATGCTGTATGTTGCATTATTTTAACCATTATAAGATTTTAAAAAGATTTCATGACTTAATTTACTTGATCTCTGCTACATAACACTGACATAACCATACCATAAACACATTATAGAAGATGGCATATGCTGTCATGAGCTGTCATATGCTGACATGACCCATCAGTGGAATACTGCCTATTATATGACATATATATTAGACAATTAATTCATTTTTCACTGTGTAGCATTCTACATTAGAAGGGCGGTGGTTCTTGAAAGATGTATAATTCTTGTAAGCTCACATGAATCATAGGAGCAGAAAGTAAACAAAAATATATATTGAATTAAAAAATGTTTGTTTTTTTGTGTTATGTTTGTCTGATAAAACATTTTTACACTGTCCTCTACAAAGATTGGCACCCCTGACAAAAATGATGAAAAAAGGGCTGTAAAAAGGCTGTGATCTTTCACTTGAAATATCAACAGTAACCTTTATCTAAGGTACAGTGTTGAAAAAAAAAATCTAAATCTTATTATGACAAATATATTTTGAGAATATTTTTCTTAAATCTATGTGTAGATTTGTTGAGCTAATTCTTTGTCATTGGGTAAGAGTGACCTATGCATTTATATTAAGTTGTACGAGAAAATGTGGAAATGTGTAATGTGTAAATAAATTATTATGGGCAGTTTGATTTTGATTCTTTTTTTTTTTTGTGAGATGAAAAGGTAAAGGTTAGATGTAAAGGTTAGATCTTTGGGGTAAGAGGGCCCTCCAGACAAAGGGCAAAAGTCCCCCTTAACAGTACTGCTCCAAAAATATTATTTAGTTTAGTTTTCATTAGGAAGTCAAAAAAGTTGCTGACTGTGGGCCGTGGGCTGCCTTCGTTGTTATTCTGTGAAACTTCTGATTCATGCAATGGAATATGTATTATAACTGACAATCTATTCCCAGTAACATATTAAAGGTTATTCACTCTTGTAGTTTTATCTAGATCAAACATCACAACATAGCTTCAAATAATTCCATGGTAAATTCTCCCAAACAAGAAAATCTATTGATAGGGAAAAATAACCATGTCATTTTTCAACATTTCTCATTTCTACAGATATTTGCGAAAATTACATCGTATTCCATTTTTGTCTTGTCATGCATGCATTCTTACCTGGTGGATAGAAGGTAACAGAGGAACTCCAATGGATCATTTTTGACTGATGGACCTCTGGGAAAGTAGCGTGACTCCACAGCTCTGTGAAAAACAACACAATTGATTAACAAAACAATTAAAATTAATTGTTACAAATCAGACACTCAAAACTAAAATAAAATGAACTGTATATTGTGGATTATACAGTTTGCATTAAATCTTGTGGCAGAACAACCTGAACTACAAGTAAAAATGTTTTACAGAAGGATACAGAGGTATATGTATGATTAATTTTCACAAAATACAATCTGTAAATAGTACTATCAGCTCTGTTACTCTTAACAGAAGTTTTTACCAGTGATGTTAATAATAAAAGATCAGGAGTGACACTAGAAGTACAGTTCAAAGTGAAAAGTGTTGCTATATAATTTAGATGAACTGTGTCAGGCAGACAGTAAGCTGTAAGAAACATAAGAATTGTAATAAACATACTTACCCCCAGACCTCATTCAGCTGTTCTCTATTAATTACCCCTTCTAACATGTTTACAGCTCTGTCAAAGATACATATGAAAGGGATGAGTTTAAACTTTCAGATACAAAAGTGAAAAAGTGAGAAAATACCTAACATAATTAATTTTAATGCATCATATTCCCTTAGTATAAACAGATACATATGCGAAATAAAAGGAAGATGCCCTGATTTCAGAGTAACTGAAAAGTGGGGAAGAGATCTTACAGTAGGTACTGTTGAACACCCTTCCCTGTTGCTAGCGAACAGAACATCCCTTGTATGTCATCCTTGTAGAACAAAACCAGCCTTCGGATAGTGCTGTGAATTGAATAACAATAAACAAAGCTTATAGTGCATTCAAATTTAAAGGTATGGAGATACCAGCCTTGTGACCGGAAGGTTGCCGGTTCGATCTCCTGAGCTGACAGAACGAGACTGAAGTGCCCTTCAGCAATGCCATGGATAGGGCTGCCCACCGCTCTGGGCAAGTGTGCTTACTGCCCCCTAGTGTGTGTGTGTTCACTAGTGTGTATGTGAGTGTTTCACTGCACAGATGTGTTAAAATGCAGGGTGAAATTTCACTGTGGGACTAATATAGGGTAACAAAGGTAAAGAGAGGCCAGTCAAAATGCCCATTAAGAACAACTTATTCATTTTTCAACATCAGGGAAAAAAGCCTTTTCTGCTTTACAGTATCCAAGTGATCCCAAACACATTGGTGATCTTTAGGTCTGGACTCTGGGGTGGCTAGTCCATTGTTCAGCTTTTGTGTTTGATAGGCTTGATATGTACATTTTGATCTTCTCAGCAGTGTATCTAAAGACTCATTTAAATGAGGAATTCTTCTTTGTTGGTTGAAACCAGACTGTGTTGTAATTTATAAACTGAAGCAGTCATGCACGCATGGATTGGTAAACACAAACACGACTGTCACACTAATCTCATTTAAATACAAACAAAAAACAGAATCTCATATGTCAGTAATAATATAAAGCTTGGGTGCTTGAGAACAGAAACTATTTCTTCATTTATTGTATTTATTTATTCATTTATACACATTCAATAGCTATTTGAAAGATGTTTTTTTTTCACAAAATTAGTCCTACCCAGTGAAAATTAAAACATAATTGGTTAATTCCACTGTCAGTTCCAAATCATGTCAGTGACACATTAGGCCTTTAGTTCAGCTCCTGAAGTCCTAACCAATAGGTGAGCTCACTAGGCTTTATCTACTTCGATACCACAGAAAAATAACTGATTGGCTAATTTTCTGTTGGGCATTTTAAGAATTTAACCATTTGGTTTCCAATCAAAACTTAACAATAAAATAAGAGTACTAGTACAAATGCAAGGAGCTGAAGAAATAAAAATATGTTTGTTAAAATGTCAATGTTTAACTAAAACTCATATTTCCCCATGCAGAACTGTCAGATGTAAATTAACACTAAGATTCCCTACAGTTATTATGATTTTTAAATTGTAACCCAATTTCTTTCATTGAAATTATTTTAATAGTTTAGAACTCCTTCTCATTTAATCAGTTTTAGAAATTTCATAAGGATAGAGAGTTAAATATATTCGTGTGAGTCCTATTTTATTAAATTAATTAATTATAAATGGTAACTAGATAATGTAGTCTGTATTTCTTTTACTCCACACTAAGCAACTTTCTTTGTCACTGTTTTTTTTTAGAAATGTTATAATGTTAACACTAACTTCAGAATTCTGTTCTTTTAAATCTTATTTCTCTTTCTTAGTAATCATGTTTTTGTAGAACGTGTATCAGGCTCCAGTCCTGGTGGGCCAAAACACTGCAGACTTCAGCACGCTACCTCATTAAACACACCTGATTCAGCTCATCAGCTAATTAGCAAGGTCTTCATGAACTGAATTCAGAGCATTAGATGAAGGTAAATGCTGATCTCCACAGCACTTTTGCCTGGAAAGTCCCCAGTTTGACATGCCTGTTTTAGAAGTAGGATTATCAGAGGTTTCAAGTAGCTTTATGTAACTGTGGTGTAAAATTAGGGTACTTTTGGATATACACACACACATCATCTAAACCGCTTATCCTTCTGGGTCGGGGTGGGGTGCTGGAGCCTATCCCAGTTATCATTGGGCGGAAGACAGGATACACGCTGGACAGGTCGCCAGTCCATCGCAGGGCATCCTTTTGGATAAAACAGTCTATAAATACATATATGTATATATCTGCATTCTGCATATGTGCAGATATTCATACATCTCTTTAGCTTTTCTCCATGGCTATTTATTATTATTATTATTATTATTATTATTATTATTATTATTATTATTATAGTCTGTTTGCTTGTATCAATTTGGATGGTTTTTCCTTCTCCTGCAGTATTTTGGAGGTTTGTGAGGTTCATATATATGGATTTAGTTTTTACATTTTTTTCAGTAATTAACTTAACAATTACTGAACTTTGACAAATTCTTCCATTTTTTAAATGTCCCTCCTTATTTAAATTCATTAGGACTCACCGTGCTGCTACAATTAAATCATCCTGCTCTCCTTTACATCTTTCCTCTACACTGATTCTGTTTGCTGTCTCTTTGAAGGAATTCCAGTGACCTTGGATTGCAGTTCTGTAAAAGAAATCAATGACCAGTCATTAATAGGCTGCTTTGAAATGATACAATTTCATAAACAATAATAATAATAAAGACAGAAAGAAAATCACCTGTTTGTTCTCAGCTGGTTTTCTCTCACTATTCTCTCAATTGTGTCTCTGAGTTTGTCCAAGCAGTTCAGAAACACTTGGGCCCCAATTCCAACATTTTTTCCACATTTTCATGATCTTTTTCTGACATCTTGAAACTCTCCACTCCTTTATAAGGATTCATAAGGAATAAGTAACATGCACCTTAAATCGCAAATCAAAGAATTTTCCGATGACTTAATTTAGTAATTGAATAATTTAGTCAGTACAATGCAATGACAAAATTATGAATGAAGAAGCTTAATATTGTTCATGATAAGATTTAGTGTAATATGTAAAGAGAAATTCATAATATTGCTTTTTAAAATACTGATGTATGTCTCGATATTACAGGATGTTGCATGCTCATTTGATAAAAAGGCTATTAGTTCAGCTGGGAAAGTACCTAGAGGTTTGCTAGAATTCTATCTTAAGTAACACTGCAACATCATAAAACTCACCACATGAAAGAAGCAGAGCGAGACTTACGAAAGTCACAAGTTTTGCCATCCTGAAAGAACTGCACAGAAAACAATAAACATGAAGTAAAACAATTCATAAAAAAACTTTAAGACATTATATTTTCTAAAAAGGCTAAATAGCCAAAAGCTAACAGTCATAAGTGAGCTTCAGTTTACTCACAACACATAAGCTATGTAATTACAGTGGACACGATTGGCAGTCAGTGTGCACTTTAATACTGACCCGAAAATACATTTCTGATACTGTGCGCATACTGAACCACCCAGAATAATGTGTACAGTGAAGCATATCTTTCATTCCAGGGAACATTCCAGTGCATTTAGTAGTCATGTACTAGTGTTTAGTGATCAGTGGTGGTTACTTTGAGACTTCACAGGAAGCATGACGTCCCCTAAAAATTCATCATAACATGGCACTAAAATGGTTCACAGTGCTCCCTCTTGTATCTCTTACTGCAGTTCAGTATTTTTAACCATTAAAATGTGTGAAATATCTACTCTATATCACAGAACACTGAATTTGAATAAGAACCTCACACGCAGTTACTTAATAGTTATCATTATGTATATTATTTAAGAGAAATCTGAGTAAATTAGACACTGGAGGAGCATTTCTGCCTATAATTCTGCTCTATTCTCCAGAACAAATCACCCCCAGTATTGACCCAGACTGCATAACCTTTACTCAGGCTAAATTCAGAGAAACTTCAGCAAGTTAAACAGACATGCTGTACTAATTCCAGAATCAAATTCAGTTTATAAAATATTAACTACCCAAGCCCTAAAATGAACTCTCAATTTGTGCAATCATTAACTCAGAATATACTACTAAGATACAGAGAGAATAATAAACAACTTTGCCACCTGAGTGATGCTTTGAGCACATGACTGCCTACAGAACACAGATCCAGATTCAAATAATCAGCCAGTAGCTGCAAATGTACTTTGTTGTTCCTATAACATTAAAAGAATGTTGTTCCACACAACAAAGCAGAGTTTCAGACTTGATGTTAACAACTGAAAACAACTTGCTGTCTGTAAATGTCATTAATGTAATGTCATTTTAAGTTACAGGTCCTTGTTAAATGGAGTTAAGTGTGAAGAATAAGACCATGTCTGAAGTTCCTCCTCCATTCTAACATCCACAATAAATATACAATAAACAATAAATTTCCACTCTATCTTCCATTTCCTGTGATGAAGTTTCACACTCCACCTCCTCCCTGCTTCCTCCATATTCCTCAGTCCTGTCTCTTGGTCTTCTCTCCAAGTTCTTCAAAAGGGGTTCAGCCTTCTAGTATAAAGCAAAAGCTGCCCATGTTCTCAGAGTTCTCTCCCTTTTTACAGTCTCTCCTCATATCACACTTAAAAATAATGGTTCTTCAAGGGTTCTTTAGAAAACACAATGGTTTTATGGAGCCATAAACACTCAACCAAGATTGCAAAATTATTCTGGCCAAGATCTGGCCCACATCACCCATTTTCATCTAGCCCAATTGCTGATTGACGGGACTGTTGCAGACCACTCCTGGTTGCTAGATGTGGGCCACATATGTACCAGATTAGGGCCACAAGTCAGCCAGATGTGATCCACACAACTGGGCCTAATCTGGGCCAGAAGCTGACCACAAGGTTTGGGCCATATCTGAAACAAATCTGGGCCATATCTGATTTCAGATGGCAAAATTATTCTGGCCCAGGTCTGGCCCACATCCTTCCACCCCCATTTTCATCCAATCCACTTGCCACATGGATTGACGGCACTTGGGTGGACTGCTCCTGGTTCCTAGATGTGGGCCACATCCGTACTACATTAGGGCCACATATCAGCCAAAAGTGAAGCACACAATTGGGCCTAATCTGGGCCAGAAGCTGACCACAAGACGTAAGCCATATCTGGAACAGATCAGCACCAGACCTTTTTCAGATAGCAAATCCCCTCCCATTTTTCTCTGGCCCACTTGCCACATGGATTGATGGCACTTGGGCGGTCCACTCATGGTTACCAGATCAGGGCCACATACGCACCAGAGTAATTCCATTAATCATTTTTAAATAAAAGCACAACTAGGCCTAATCTGGACTGCACAAGTGGCCTGGATTTGTAAGCAGTCCACACTTGTCCCAGAGTCGGCTGCTATATGGCTATTGATTCTCAGCCCTATTTAAAACTAGTCCAAGACAATTTACCACCAGCCTACAACCTTCCATCATGACTGGCCTACACATTTAAAAGTACAATAATGGATTTCTTCAAAATGTATTCAGCAGTAGTGATCACTGTAAATTAGTCAGGCATTTTTCCTCCATTTTCAACATAAATCAACAATCAAAAATGATAGGACATTTATTGTTTATTGAATCAGGTTTGCTTGGATGAAAGTGAAGTGGATGAAAGTCAAACAAAGTCAAATGACAATCATATCAGCATATCGCTGTCATCAGAAGAAAACCTTGTTTTCCAAAATGATAACTTTACAGGAAAAGGAAAAAAAACTAATTTACTTTTAATGTAAGTCAATGGAACCAGAATTTTTCATGTAATTTGGGGCAGTTTCTTTTGGTCCATTCATTATGAAATTTACACACAATGTAAAGGGTAACAGGCATTTTCAAATTATGTCAAAAACTGAAAAACAACAAAAATGGAGATACGTTTGTTCCGACAGCAGCGATATGCAATGTGAAGTTCTTTTTTGACCACCTTGACCATCCTTATTTGCCATACCGGTGGCGTATACTTATATTACCTTAGATTACCTTTTATCTCCATGCAAAATTTGTACTTCTTATCCTAGTCCTGTGGTCATTCAAACTATTCTAACCTTTGACGAAGGACCAGAGCAGGTGTGCCCAACCATGATCTTGTTGGTCTATCGTCCTACAAAGTGTAGCTCCAACCCTAGTCCAGCATACCTGGTCCAAAGCAATGATGGCTAATACTAGAGCCAGATGTGTTGAAACCAAACTCTCCAGGGGGGAGGATCACAAATACTAGAGCCAGATGTGTTGGAACCAAACTCTCCAGGGGGGAGGATCACAAAGACCAGGCAGCAGATGTCTAGCCCAGTTTCTAGGTCAGTTTGTGACCACAGAGATGCTCTTGGCTGGATATTTTTGGATGGTGGTCCACTCTCAACCTAGCACTGACACTGACATGTGTAAAAACCCCATCAGCATGACTGTGTCTGACATACTTGCTTCAACATCACACACACTACCATGTCAGTATCACTGCTGACATATATATATATATATATATATATATTTCCAATCAACCTGAAGAACCTTCAGCAAGTCTGCACGGAAGAATGGGTGAAAATCTCTCCCAAGCAGTATGAAAAGCTGGTAGAAACCTGCTCCAACAGAATTAAAGCTGTTATTCCAGCGAGTGGATCCACTGAGTTAATGGTCTGAATGAGTTGAATACTTTTACAAGCAGAATTCTTTGAAAATATACTTTAAGAACATACTGGTTTGCAATAAAAAAAACTGGCTAAAACAAACTGTGTTAGTGTCCTTTGTAATCTAGATGAACGTACTAAACACACAAACACACACATTGTTGTGCACATATATAGTATGTAGAGTATACTATATATACACATACATATACGCCCGAAACTAACAGCAATTTATCTGAAGTAGAATGTGTGTGTGTGCAGGATGTGCGTAATTTTGTCTTCTTGTACAAATTGACTGCCAGAGTAATGAAATGAACTCTGTCATGCAAGTGTGTGATTTTCTTTCAACTACAACATAATGAAGTGAAACACAGTCAATTGGTTGTTTATGTGAGCTGATTTGAGTACTACATGCCACATAGTAATCGGATATCGGCGTGAATAACTAGAGACGCATTTGCCTACCAAGTGTAAATGCATGTGTTTAACTCCTTAAAATACTCTTTACAGCAGAGTAAATGTGTGTTTGATGATGCAGGACGGATTTCATCAGAGGTGACTCAAGTGCTGAGTTCCTGCTAATGCTACAGCAGGTTAGCGTGTTACCCAGCTAAATATTATTTTCTCATAATCTTACCTCATACCTTTTTACTAGCAGTTTGCCGCTCAAATAAAATCAGTGGGTCTAACCTGGCCATTCCAATAAAAACCTTCTGGCTACGCCCCTGCATGATCGCGGTCCAAACAATAAGCAAAAGCTGCTGTGCATCACAATGGTGGCACAGCAGCTTTTGCTTATAATGCAGAGGTTAAATAAAATATCTGATGGATCAGAGCCGGGGAATGACACGAGTACAACACAGCGACTGTTTATAGCCATTTTCTGTTTACTTACATGTTTCCTAGTGTGTTCCTACCTGGTCTTTGCAATTGAATATTTGTTTTCAGTGCCCATGCATTTTAGTTGAAGTATATAATATGAAAATAATTATTGCTTATTTTCAATTAATCCATTTCTCATTCCTCTTATGGCTTCTTTCAGCATACTCAGAATGTTTAAAATTGGACTTGGCATGAAGATAAATATGGCCTCCATTTTATTCATCCAAAAAAACCTTCACCAAAGACAACAGAATTCACCTTTTATAACAATTAAAAATGTAATATTTATGTGTGTTACTTGAAGGAGAAGTTACTTGAGACTGATCTACATGAGAATATGAACAAAATTGTACACAGAAGCACGATTTCTTTTATTATTTATTCAATACATTTCAAAAGTGTGCAGTTGAGACCAACTATCAACTGCTGTCCAAAAGCACTCTGGCCTTTCAGAGTGAGATTTCACACAGATATGACGTTCCAGATGTCAAGCAGAGGAGCATATATCAAATTAAAGAACACCAGAGAAGCTTTATACAAGGTCCTATAAGAAACAAAAACATGTTAATATTGCATCATTCTCTTAATTATAATAGAACATTACTATAACACTAGGTTATGAAAATGTACAAATATGTTCTTTTCACATGTGAAAATCTAATTTAAGGTGCACAACTGGACCTTAAAACCACTGTTTTACCTTTAAGGTACATTTACATCGTTTGTGCCTTGGTGAACAAAAATGTACCTGCACAGAACCTTTTTTCTAACAGTGTAGGTGCTTCCATTTCATAATAATAGCATTTACAGTTGACTAGGGCAGATCTAGCTGGGCAGAATTTCACCAACTAACTTGTGGCAAATGTGGTATCATATGACAGTGCCG